AGCATCATGGTGCAAAGCTATAAGGGTCATATGATATTCACGCCATCTTGAAATTATTTCGTAACAAGTATCGGTTCTCATTAGTTGCCTTATGAAGTGGGAAAGATTCTATTGGCTAGAATGAGATATAGAATTAGGAACATGTCACTGACAGGAGAAGATATCAATTACAGAAAAAAAACTAGTATGGGTATTCAAGAACTGATCCGATACCCGATTGCCTTTACTGGTTTACCTTGCTATATGTCATGACAAATTCATATTGATAAATAAGAGGGACAAAATGAACAAGTTTCTGAGTGGTCATCTTACAATATATGAATATACACCAACACTTAAAATACCTATTACTGCCAATGACCTTCAAGAAAATTGTCAGAATACATGTGATCCATGTTATAAACCCAAATGGTATAGAAAAAAAAAACAGCTCTGCACATGATATCCCTGAAAAAAACATGCATGATCAACAATATCCATATGCAAATAAATATTGCATGAGAAATAACTGTGAAAAGTCCAATAACTCTGGCACGATAAACGATAAATTTTCAAAATACAAAGTGAATCTATATTCTTTAACATAATAGTAAAGTGTGAAATAAATTGATCAATGCATTCTAGATCTAGTGCATTTCATGTAGAATAATACCTATTAAATCTGATCGTCAAAGTCCCATAACTGTGGTTTGACAAATCATAAATTTTCAAAACTAAACCATATTTCTGGAATGACCCAACCAAAGAATTTGAAAATCAAAATGAAGCTTTCTTCTAATTTTTATGGTGATGTTGTTTACCCAGCCCAGAAATTTAGATAAGATCCAGGAAAACTTATCAAACCTTTAAATAAACTTATTATAGAAGGTTACCAATTCAACACTGTAATTGGATCTTTGAATATTGTTTTTATTGGTATAAATATTGATTTTGTTATCAGTAAATTAAAACCATACTAAATATTATTGTTATACACATATGCTCTTTCACTGTTCTACAATCTGTCGATACCTATATTTTGGCATTGCATAAGGTCATGTTTTTCTCTGACTGTAAATGACGTCTTTACACTAAATCCATAGGATGTTGGATGTGTATTGATTGATATTTTAGTCTTAGATACATGACTTTTTTATAAGTGTTATTGGATTTGAACTAGCTGTCAGTAACTGCGAGTTCTCTCAGATCTGTACTTTGTGTCTTCTTCGTTGTGACGGCTGTATGAATTCCGTGCCACTTCCGGTCTGTGTTTTTGATAGATGTTTTTCTGCTTTGTATCGATCTGATGAGTTAAGCCCTTTTCAACTGAATTTTATAGTTTCTTATGCTGCACTGCTACACTACTGTCCCAGGTAAGGGGAGGGTTGGCGCCTTTGAACATGTTTAACCCCACCACATTCTATATGTGCCTGTCCCAAGTCAGGAGCCTGTAGTTCAGTGATTGTCGTTAGATCATGTCTGTCATAATTGTTTTGTTTTGAATTAGGCTGCAAGTTTTCTCAATTGAATTGTTTTATATTTTTCATGTCAGGGCCTTTTATAGCCAACTATACCTTATGGTTTTTTCTCACTAATGAAGGCCGTGCGGTTGTTAATAATTGCTTACATCTACTTCATTTGAACTCTGATAGTTGTCTCATTGGCAATCATACCACATCTACTTATTTTTATATTTTATCAATCGTAATGTTCTGTTTAAGTTTTGTGTGAATTGGCAAATTTTCATGGATAAACTACAGTATACTATAATACACATGTACATCCCATTTAAGACGAGCTTATAAAACCACACTTATGCATATATACGCAAAGGAGATAACTAATGCCTTTCCCATACTTAAACAACCACATAAACCACATCTTACTTAAAGTATGATAGAGCAAAGCACTCAAAAGCTTTTAGGATACATAAAACTTGGTATCAGCTAGCTTTACAGATTAGTGTATATAAAAACTGTTACCCGAGGGAACTATAACAAGTGATTAGTGAATCATTTGAATGATTTTTAATATTTATAAATCAAATGACAAAAAGTTCTTAGAAATAAGTGAAACATAGTAAATAAAAAAATTTGAATTGTGAAAGACTTTACAATACCCTGACCTCTGTTGGCAGAATATTCATAAACACTGTTTTATCAATTGGCAGTTGTTCCACCATTTGTCCATGGCATTAGTTGAATTTCAAACTTACAAATAGGTTGTTTTTGGGCCTATTGCAAACAAAATTGAACAGAAACAACCCTTGGGCACTTTTGGGTAAAAATCAACAAAAATGTTTTACAAACAATCTTGAAACCCTGTAAAAGGCACACGGCATAAAATGTTGGTCATCTAGAAAGGCTGCCAGTTATTTAAAACAGAAATAAATGGGGAATGTGTCCATGGGACACAGATGATGCCCTCGCTTGCATATCATATAAAATTATAAAGGGACATAAATGAAGAATGGTAAAAGTGACACTACCCAAATTTGTACTTGATCTGAGTTTTGTGGTAATAAGTATTGTGTATAAGTTTCATAAAATTTGGTTGAGGCAAACTTAAGTTAGAGAACGGAAACGAATTTGTAAAGGGGCATAACTCTAGAACAGTAAAAGTGACACCCCCAAAATTCAAACTTGATCTGTATTTTGTGGTAATAAGCATTGTGTATAAGTTTTATAACATTTGGTTGAGGCTAACTTAAGTAAAAGAATGGAAACGAAAAATTCAGCAATTTTTCCATTTGTAAAGCGGCATAACTCTAGAACGGTTAAAGTGCCACCTCCAAAATTCAAACTTGATCTGTATTTTGTGGTAATAAGCATTGTGTATAAGTTTATAACATTTGGTTGAGGCTAACTTAAGTTGGAGAATGGAAACGAAAAATTCAGCAATTTGTCCATTTGTAAAGGGCATAACTCTAGAACGGTAAAAGTGACACCACCAAAATTCAAACTTGATCTGTGTTTTGTGGTAATAAGCATTGTGTATAAGTTTCATAACATTTGGTTGAGGCAAACTAAAGTTAGAGAACCGAAATCAACTTTGGGACGTATGGACGTACTTACAGACGTACAGACGGACAAGGGTAAAACTTAATGCCCCCTCTGCTATGGCGGGGGCATAAAAATGACCAACAAATTTTAAAAGTGGTCACCAAACAATTTAAATTGTTCATTTATCACACAGTGTATCCTGATCCGAATCCCAAGGAGCTATTATTGACAAGTTTGTAATGGTGGGTAGGTAAAATCTAGATGGTGTGTTTATGATCCGTCAGAATTTTTTGTGATAACCACCATAAAACAAAACTGAGATCACATGGGTCAAAGGGTCTATGTGCCACATTAATAAACAGCTGCGCCATGAGCGCATGATACGCCCGTCGTCTTGTGTGTGAATTTTTATGCAATAAGCATAAATAGTTTCTGACATACGGCGTGACATGCGAAAACCCCCTTTTTTTTTTACAAAAAACTCAATATCTCTAAAATAAAATTTTGAATCAAAACCAAAAAGTATACAGATCTTTAGATTAATATAAGAAGTGTGTAAAATTTTAAGTAATAATCATTAATCGTTTTTGAGATACGGCGCGACATGTGAAAACCCCCCTTTAAAAAAAAAAATCAATATCTCTCAAAAATAAAATTTTTGAATCAAAACCAAAAAGTATACAGATCTTTAGATTAATATAACTAAGAAGTGTGTAAAATTTTAAGCAATAATCATAAATCGTTTTTGAGATACGGCACGACATGTGAAAAACCCCTCCCCCTTTTTTTACAAAAAAATCAATAACTCAAAAATAAAATTTTGAATCATTACCAAAAAGTATACAGATCTTCACGTTAATATAACTAAGAAGTGTGTAAAGTTTTAGCAATAATCATAAACTGTTTTTGAGATACGGCGCAACATGTGAAAACCCCTACCCCTTTTTTAACAAAATACTCAATATCTCTAAAATAAAATTTTGAATCATCACCAAAAAGTATACAGATCTTAAGATTAATATAACTAAGAATGTGTGTGTAAAGTTTTAAGCAATAATCATAAATTGTTTTTGAGATACGGCGCGACATGTGAAAAAAAACACACACCTGTTTTAGTTACTAAGTCCCGTAACTCAAAAAGTTTTAATCTTATTTTCACCAAAAAGTATACAGATCGTTTGACCATCATAAGAAACAACTACATGAAATTTGGATAAGTCATTCTCAAGTTACGGTGCGACATGTTTACGCCGGACAGACAGACGGACAGACAGACAGACAGACAGACAGACGGACAGACAGACAGACGGACGGACACCGGACATTTGTATACCATAATACGTCCAATCAAAAATTGACGGGCGTATAAAAACCAAACTCATTATTGCCATCTCTTGCCGGCTGTCCTCCATCCAGTGTCCACACCAATTATGTTTGTGATTAAATCACTTTAACAGGAACCACTAATGCTTAGTCATTATTTGGTATGCATGTGTATTAACATTGGCACATCTCATCTCAAAACAAACATACTTGCCACACAATTAACTTGTAGCTCAAAGTTGAAGACCTTTAACTGTTCACCTTCTTTCCATATATTTTCGACAGCTAACTGTCTCATTGACCATTTACAGCTTATAATGAAAGCAGTTAATATGAATTCTTCAGGACTGATTTAAAAAAATCAATTATTTATGGAAAAGTAAACAAGAATGTGTCCATAGTACATGAATGCCCCACTCGCACTATCATTTTCCTTGTTCAGTGGACCGTGAAATTGGGATCAAAACTCTAATTTGGCATTAAAATTAGAAAGATCATATCATAACTATATATATATAGGGAACATGTGTACTAAGTTTCAAGTTGATTGGACTTCAACTTCATCAAAAACTACCTTGACCAAAAACTTTAACCTGAAGCGGGACAGACAGACGGACGAACGAATGGACGGATGCACAGACCAGAAAACATCATGCCCCTACTACTATCGTAGGTGGGGCATAAAAACAAAAGAGATTTAGTATTACTTTTAATAGAAATTATGGTAAAAATAAAATACCAAATTTACAGACAGTAACTAGTAAGCAAACACAACAAATCACAAGGGAGACAACTGACATGGAAATAACAAATTATCAAATATAAGGTCATCCTTAATTTCTTTAAATTTAACTGCCCTTGTGTAGATTTGAAGACAATTTTACTTTGAAAAAATGTTTTCATTATAAGTAATTTTTTATTCCCAATGTATGTGCTCTAAGCTAAACTTTGTTTCAAATGTCATGAATGAAGAGATAAAGTCTTGCATATTAATAAAAAATGCTCCTGCTTTACCAAAATGAAATTTTCAGCAAACTTTTATATCCTTTTTCCTTGAAGTTTTATTTTATCTCAGATATTAAGTGACGATCCAGAGGTCATAAACATTGAAATTTTGCGGTTATAATTTATCTCCATCTCTAAAATGTTTTGAAAGAAATAAAACTTATCACTAAAAATCTGGGAAAAAAACTATAAGAAACACTTAAAAAAAACTTATTAGTGGGAACTAAAGTATAGTATTGTATATTACAAGTTAAGCACATTAGTTGGTTTTAAACATGAATATAACAAGATGTGTTTAGAAAATTCGAAATTTTGATAGATCTGGGGACCATTAAACATGTATTAACATAAGCCTTTTTTTGATTTGCTTTAAATTACTATTATTGGTTGACTTATAGTTGATTTGCTTTAAATTACTATTATTGGTTGACTTATAGTTGATTTGCTTTAAATTACTATTATTGGTTGACTTATAGTTGATTTGCTTTAAATTTCTATTATTGGTTGACTTATAGTTGTGTAACTTAATATGATGGAGTACTCAGGCAGTCTGTTTAACTAAATTATTTTCTTGAATAAATGAGGCAGATTATTTAATGATTTAAAACTTTGAATCCTCTTTATAATGCAATCTTTTCAAAATCTTAATTAATCACTTGCTAATTATGATAATTTTTTGTTTTAAAATGACAATTTTCTCTTGACTATAAATTTAGTATATTATTGTCATTTTATGAAAACGCATCTACAAGAACATTATTATTGCTTGTGAATAAAAATAATCATAAACAAATTAAACATTACTGTGCGATATGTCATAAAATGTCTTATTTTCAAGAGTACAATGTAGAAAATAACTTGAGCTATTGTTACACATACCCCAAAAAAGCAAGTCTCATTACTATGCATCAAAAAGAAAAACCAAGGATTAGCAAAAGCAGGTTTGATTTATCACATGACACACTAGGCCATACAGAAGGACAACTGTATATCATAATACATCTAGTAGACAGGCAAATAAATATAAAAACAAAATTTGAAAGTACAACAAAAATAAATAAGTTAATATATATTTTGTTCTAATTAGATTTTACATCTACTTGAACAACATGTATATATAATTAAATAATGCATTTCTATACATAAAATATTGACAGAAATAATGTCAGATCAGCTTTTTGACACTAATTTTTCAAATCAAACTGTTTCTTGATTTCATGCATTTAGCAAGTTCAATTTAATTTTTTTAAAAGCTTTATGAATATTCTACTTCCTGAAATCAACAAGATGTTTTATTAAGAGATATATCATCTCTTAAATGAATTGATATTTTAAACTGACCGGTTTATTAAAATACAGATCTAGGTTCTGGCTTTTTTTCACATATTTACTTGAGTTCCAGGTGAACAATTTCAATTCAACAACTAACTAATAAAAGCTCTTGATAGAAATTATATAACCGACAAGTTCCAAGAAAATATATAGATGGGTTCAGGCTTCTTTTTTCTCAAATTAAAGATTTTGGAAATTTAAGATTTAAAAAATAAACATTGTATCAGTAATCATTAGTTAATTATATAAAGATTAGTTATTTACATACAGATTTTTACAGTTTTTATACATATCATGAGACACAATTTTAAAGCATACAAACAAATAAAAAAAAGATGCGAAAAATCAACTGACTGACAGGGGAAAACATGTTTTGATATGTTTAAACAAGTGTTTGTGTGTAAATCATTAACGCAAATAATCACTTCATTCTGACAAAACAGTTTGTATAATTAATAATGCAAATTAGGGCTATTCCATTAAAACTGATGTGGATGGGTAAGAATGGACTTTGAGCACCCCCTCCAAACCCAATCCAACTAACATACTTGCTTTGATTAATTAATGTTTTCTAAAGTCCAGTGGCAAATATTTCATGCATGTTCAGGACAATACATGCTTATAGTAATTTTGAATACAACAAATGGACATACTACCATAAATGACCCACAACCGATATCCTAAAATAAAACATCTCTTCCTCCTACCCTCCAAAATCCTTTATAATGGAATAACCCCTAATAACTTCTTACATAAATTAAACATAGAGTTCCACAATTCATGACATTACAGATATATGTACATATTACAAACACAACATAAATTTTTCACCTTGCAGAAATTCACTCACCCTAACACATTGCACTTAAAAGAGAACACACAAAATTATTAGCACCGTCATGTAATACTGGAACACACAATATTGAATAAAACTACAGGTCTCGCTTTCCTGTCCAAACAATGATTTTCTTTTAAAATGATCCTAAATGTAATGCATCCATGTCATAATGGCTGCCAATTGTGTTAGATTTTTTTTCATTAAATGTAGTTTGTATTTTTTTTGGCTGGTATTTCATGGCCTGTTTAACATTGAAAACAGGCATCTATTGAAGATGGAAAAGACTTTAAAAAAATATTTAACGCATGTGTCACAATGTTTGAGATAATGGAATATTACATAATTACACATCCAAAAAATAATTATTTAATTGTTATGTATTACATCAAACCCTCATTCTCACATATGTATTCAATAACTACCACCAATTTTTCATTCATTCCGCTAACAAAATGTTTATTGCTTTCTGAACATCAACAAACAATATGGCGAACTATGGAATTAAAAAAATAACTAACATTTCAGTGAATAAATCAACAAGTGGCAAGAAATAAAATGACATTTAATACTTAACAATAAAATACTGTCAAAGCTGGCCTATGGATTTGTTAACCATCATACATAATGTATGCAAAAAATGAGAAAATGCATGCTGAAAAAGTACACGAAAGACAATTTAGTAAATTATGTGGTGTATTCACATGGCTCAATACAAAAGTTCATTTTATTTTGGCTCAATCAAACAAACTGAATGGTTGTGCTTATGAATCTTGGTAACATATTGGTAAAATAACTACTTGGTATGAAGACCTTCATAGTCAATTTCCTATTTATATATAAATCTTTCATTCACAAATTATCTCACTAGACAGTATGAGTTGTGAATTTTCTTAAGGAGATATAAAAAGTGTGGGAAACACTCTAACATTAGATATGATTAATAGTTCTCTAAAATTAGATATGATGTAATACAATGTATATTTATTTTCCAGTTATAATCAATGTAATTAATAGTTCTAAATATTTTTTCTTTCATTTGTCACAAACTAATATAGATTTGTAACTTATCTATAAAATGTCAACAACTTTTATCTATACACAATGTAATGTAATGAAATATATACCTTAATAAAAATAGATTATTATCTTTCACTTCATAATTTTTTTTTATGTATATAGCATTCTGAAAAGTAGTTTATACAAAATAAAAAACACTTCAAACAATTAACCAAAGAATGTCTTTAAAAAAAATGAGTTATCTCTCTTTGTACAGAAATATGGTTTAACATACAAAATGTAGTACGCTAACATTAGATATGGACCATGATAACTCTGGACTAAATCATCAAACCGGACCAAAATTCGAACTTGATCTATAACTTGTCATGATAAAACTATATACCAAATATCAAATCAATATCTTCAAGAATGAAGAAAAAAGTGTGGAAAGCTGATTTGCCGGACAGACGGACGGACAGACAAACGAACAGAGTGCAAACCTAAAGTCCCCTTCTACTTCGTCGGTAGGGGACTAAAAACAAGATTCATAAACACAGAATACACTGTTTGCTCTATTAAATTTGAATGGGAATATTAGGAAGTATTCATATGCAATAAAATGTACAATATGGATTTCTAAATACAGTAATTTCATACATGAAAGACAACAATATATAAAAACCAAAATAATGCTGTGTAGATAAACAAATACATAATTGTTTACAACATAAACCATGCATGGGTTAACACAATTTCTAATTTAATTTTTTCAAAAGCTATCTAAAAATGTGTCTAAGCAAACAAAATCTGGTGGGAGACAAGTAAATCTAACCTTAAAGTTCTTTCACCAAGCAACATTAATTTCAACGAGTTTTCAATAGGTTTCAAATAATCAAATCAAACTGACCAATTGGTAGAAAATTTTGGTTAACACATGAACAGTTTATGTTGTAATTAATAAAAGACTTGTTCTACAACCTTTAGATCATACAAAGTTAAAATGGCTGTCAGATAATATACACAATGTGTAAAAGATGAATATTTTCAGTTAAGTATGAATGTGAGACATATTTGTTCAAAAAATTATTCATTCAACATTTTTAATAATTTGGGGGGTTAATCTTTTACCCAAACCTATTTTAAAATCTACCTAATATGGGATGTAAATATACCTATGCTTCCTCATCTTGAATTAAACCTAATAAAGGCAATAAAAACACTTACTTGATTTAATAACTTGATGCTTAAAAAATATGAAAATTCAAAAACAGTATACTTCGTTGAACATTTAAATTCTTTGTTAACACATATGCCCATGAAATCTACAAAAATTTGTATTCCAAAAATAAAAATGAATCCAGTATTTTATTTACAGCAATTACATCGAGAAATAAATTTACAAAACGTGCATACAGCGCCTCATATGAAGTTTTGGTATCTTGGAACCTTGGGTTTACAGCAATTCATGGCATAAAAGTAATGAAGAAAAGAATCAATTATCAAGCATGATCTCACCACATAGAATGATAACTAATGGTCAAAATAGGCATGCATATTCAATTTGGAATGAAATATAAGAAGTGGCTGCTTTTAAAGTACAAGAAATTACATTCATTGAATGTTGTATGTGGTACCGGTATTATTTGTCCCAAACAGAGAGGAATAAATTAACAATGAAATAATATAAACAGTCATATTTTTCAAAGTAAAAGATTTTAATATCTAATAATTTTTTTAAAATATATTTCAGTGGATGTAATACAATTATGATTTTAATTCCGTATATAGGTTCATTGCTACTTAATACAATAACTGATGATTAATTACAAACTAATCCTTGGTATTCAATTGATACAATGTCTTTGAAGCCTTATATACAGGTAAACTGGCATGAAAGCCCTTAACAACAAGATCATCTTATGTCATCTAAACAGACATAAATAAAAATACAACAACTGCAGTGTATTTAATAAATCACTGGAGATTTACCATATCAGCTCTTTAAGTAGATCTAATCAGTTTTTGAGATTTCTGATTATCTTCAAAGAAATGCTGAACTGTTATAACCAAGCTGGATGCTGCTGTAGATGTCAACTGTCCGAAAATCCAAACAAAACAACGGGAAAATGTTTGATATGTGTTTGCCACTGTGCTGACAACTGGAAGAACTTGACACCTGTCCATTCCACACCATCGACAGTTACTGTAATTTAAAGATGATGAAATTAATACACAAAACAAGAATGCACAAGTTGTGGTGGTAAGCATAATCTTAAACAAAGTATTGGAAAACAGGAAGTAGGTATCAATGTCAAGCTACTGTCAGACTAAAATTTGCATGATGCAAAGTTAAGTTAGAGTGCTAAAAAAAAAAATGGGACTGAAGTATTGGCAGACAGATCCAAAAAGCGCACACACGTTTCTACTCATGACTGTCAAGTCGCTGACCAAATATGAAGAAATTCTGTTCAGTAGTTCCTGAGAAAAGTTGCAAAAATTGAACAAACAGACCAACAAGGTAGAGTAAGGATATAATATATCAATTGCAGAGCAACTGAATATCTGGTGGGTTTTAATGTAAATGATCTGTATTGTAGTTTTTCAGCAATGCCAAAGAGAATAAGTATATATTTACTGATATTTATCTGATGTAAATATCAATTTTGTTTATTTAACATTTGATACAAATAAATTGTTTCCATACAAACCTTTAAGAGAATGATTTTGACTTTTTGATGTACATATTAATCTACTTATCCCATCAACTGTATGACTTTTTGATTCTGTTTCTTTGGCCTTTTTCAATCTCATTACTGCAAAAAAAAATTACTTTAAATTACTCATGAATAATAATTTTTTTTTGGTTAGAAAAACCAGTTTTTTATATTAGCTTCAAATTCATTATCTTTTCAACTCCTATATTATATCATGACTTTTAAATGGAATAAAGTGTTTTGTCGTATTATCATTGATCCATGATGCAAGTAAGCTTATGGGTTTTGCTCATTGTTGAAGACCATACAGTGACCTATAGCTGTTAACTTCTATGTAATTTGGTCTCTGGTGGAGAGTTGTCTCATTGGCAATTATACCACATCTTCTTATTTTTATATTCAATTGCTATTCTGTAATCAATTTTAGTCAGCTGCAAAAATATTATTCTCTAATTTTTTCACTATTTTCACATTTCCCAACCTATTGTGAAAAAATTGTTCTCCTCACTAGTGAAATAACTGTTCTTGGCAAATGATTGGTCGAAGTTTAATTATGACGTCAAATTTTCTTGGTTTCTTCTGAAATCCCTATTGTGGCGTCATTAAAAAAGGCGACCATGTCTGATGACGTCACAAATAAAGAACACAACTTTCTGCAAATCTTTAAAAAGGAAGGATAAAAGTCATTAGAGAAACAGATTCCACCACTACAACTCGTGTATTACAATATTTCTCACTCTTGACAGTTAAATTTTAATTGTTTAAAAAGCTCGGCAAGCCTCACTCTTTATATATTAAAATTTAACTGTCTCGCGTCAAGAAATATCGTAACACACTTGTTGCAGTGGTGGAATTTATATTTCTATGTATATTAAAATAATATTTAAAGACCAAATATCTTCATATGAGTTAAGTCTGTACCCTTTTAAACTAGCCCAGACTACTGTTTATGAATGAAAGGAAACCGTTAAATTCATCAATTAGAGCAAATTAGAAAGCATGTGTCTGATCCATTTGTCCTATTGAACAATAAAATGTTTAACAAGAATATGTCCATAGTACACAGATGCCCCACTCGCACTATCAATTTCTATGTTCAGTGGACCGTGAAATTGGGGTCAAACTCTAATTTGGCATTAAAATTAGAAAGATCATATCATAGGGATCATGTGTACTAAGTTTCAAGTTGATTGGACTTCAACTGCATCAAAAACTACCTTGACCAAAAACTTTATCCTGAAGCGGGACAGATGGACGGACGGACGAACGAGCGAACGAACGAATAAACAAACAGACGCACAGACCAGAAAACAAAATGCCCCAACTACTATCGAAGGTGGGGCATAAAAATATAGATGGGTTGTCAATTAAGAAAGTGTTGCATCACAAGAAAACAGAGAGTGATCCATGTGTGTTAGCTTTGAATAAATGAAGGTTTCAAAATGTTTTTAAAACAACTTGATAACTTACTTTTTTGTTTCTTTTCCTTCATGACAGACAACATAGTAAATGTTGATGACTGTAGATCAGACATTGGAATACCGGGTTGAGCTAATCGTTGTACATGTATGTATTTAAACGTTGTTTTTAGCGTGATTTTATTACTGTCCTTTTTACTGGCCGATGTTTCAATTTTTACAGGAGTAGTCCAGTATTCTATCTGTAACTCCAGCAATTCTCCAGGAACAGGAATGGGTGTTGATGAACTAAAAAAAATCAAGTGACATTATTTTATAAAAAGCATAACTTTAAACTACTACTTTTCAAAATGCAAAAATATTGTTCAACTCTGGAAGTATTTTATTTGTTGGTACCAGTTTTTGTAGTCTGTGAAAAACATGGTTGGTTATTTAGGTTTGTTATTCATGGTTGTAAGATTTACAAATTCATATTCAATGAAAAATATATTTTTTGTTGGTACTAAATTTCTTTGTTGGAGGGAACCAAGAAATCTACAAAAATGGATATTATAAAACAAAATATACTTTTTTTCCATACTCAATTTTATTTTAAAGTACAGGTAGTTATTGTAGATCAGCATTATATTCCCTGTAGAACTGTAGGTTTTACTAGACAGTAATATGCATGGTTTCAGCAATTTTCTACAATTTCTCTCCAAGTGAAGCAGGCATTAGAAGAAATACTTACCTTTGATTGGATGTAGCCATAATGCCAACATTGGGAGAACTTGGTGGTGTATTTGTTTCTTTCTGTTTCTCCAATGTATTATTAGATGGTGGAGAACTGGATAATAATGCAGGTGAATTAACAACAGTACTAACGTCATCAAAATCCACTGAAATGAAAAAAAAAACAATATTTATTTTGTACATTTCAAACAATGTAAATAAAAAAATTAAATTTTATAAAAAATCAGATTATATATATTTTTTCTTTTTTGTGCAAAAAAAGTCAGAAAAATTTGTAATATACAGTGATGTAAACACTTTAAACTACTTTCTGATAATAATTTAATTTTGGATGTAACAGGTCTTCTGATTGGCTGACATTGTTTTGTTTATCAGCTCATAGACATAATTTTGTCATGTGACCGTGACGTCATCAACGTTTTTTCATGGTTTACTCCGGTTTCAAATGGAATTTAGAATTAAATTATAAGAAATGACTGTAATATTTTTTCTGTCTATTCGAAATAACATAAAAAATTTGGTGCACACTTTAAAATAACCCGCTACGCGGGTTATTCAGTGTGCACCACATTTTTGATGTTATTTCTTCATAGATAGAAAAAATATTACAGTCATTCCTTAAGGAAAATCAATATGCAAAAAAAAGCAAAACAATTGATACACTTCAATGTACACCTGCTACAATATCAAGACTTTTAACTTATATTTTATGACATTAAAGGACAAGTTTTCCTTAATTTTCCTTAAAAAAGGGCATGCCAAATTTTACTTCTTTTCATATAAAATAAAAATAAGATTTTAACAACGCAAATAAACGATTTTTTATCAGCTTTATTATTTTCCATAAAAAAGGGGATACCAAATTTTACTTCTTTTTATATAAAATAAAAATAAGAATTTTACAATGCAAATAAATGTTACAGAGTCATAGATTTAATGAAGATTTCTTATCCAAATAATTGAGCTCTATGTAGGCCATTGCAATGAACCTTCAAGAAAATCATTATACAAGAAAATAGGTTTATCTTCATCAATACATCCATTCTGCATACTTTTCTTCATAAATATCACTTTCTTGGTTTACATGAAGGCCTATCTTTTAAGTGTTTACCAAATAAATGAGGACTGTTCATGATTACAGCCAGTCTTTGGAAGTACTAAATACTGCTGTATTATTTGAAGTAATGTAATTCTGATAGGAGACATGTGCTACATGTTAACAAATACAACATTTTATAAAAAATAAAAGTTTTGTATTTTTTGGTGGGGAACTGGATAACAATTGATATAACGTCGGGTAATTTAATGATTTTACCACAAAAATAAGGGGAGTAAAGAAAGGATAAAAATTCGAAAATAAAGAACATTGAAGGACTGTTAGACTGTCAAAGTGATAGTGGTTTTGTTTGACCCAAAGAACAACCACTTGTCTCAGGTCAATATGTTTACAACAATAAGTAGGTTTGAGGGTAAAACAAAACAAATGCTGCCAGAAAACCTGTTCTATTAGTTTTGTTATACCACTGTCATATAAAGTTCAGCATGCAATACAATAAACCAATCAGAATTTTGCCACACCTTTGTGAGTCAACATTTAAAACATGATTGACAGGTTGGTAAAACTGGGAAAGCAGCAACAATGTTGTGTATGTAATCTTTAAGACTCTGTTAAACAGGAATATTATTACAAGGGTATAAAACACAAACATATAGTGGAGATGATCTATTTATGATGAAATTTAGTCATAAAAGCATGGAAGATTTTCATACATGTGATCAACCTGGAGATCATAAATTTAACTTTAAATTTTAGCTTTCTCAGACTGAAATTTTCTTAATTTCACAAAATTTCAATAAGAAATACAGTGATTGACGATTTTCAGATGCAGTAAACTTACAGATTTTTTTCAAATAATACATTTCTACAAAAATAAAATGATTTAAACTGTGTTGAAAAGGTCAAACTGGTTCTTCTCTCAAATAAATATATCAACAAAGTTAGAAAAATGTGTAAAATAAATTTTGGAGAAGTCAGCAGGAAACGGCTTAATGCAAATATCAGTTGGTTTACAATAATGGGTACTTTCAAAAGTCTTGAATTTAAAACTCCAGGCTGAAGGTTCACATGTATGATTTATATATATGGTAAGTAAATGAAGTAAATAAATACATTAGACTTCTACAAATTACACAACTATAAATAACAAAAGGAAAACAATCATTATAAAAAGCAAACATGAAACTTAAGTAGTTGACAAAGCAAGGAGAAGAAAGGTGCAGGTCTTACATGCACTCTCTGCATGGTACAAATCTGTAAAAGCAAAAGAATAAACACTGAAACTAATCATGCTAACTTAAATGTTAGTCTTTCATAGAAGACATGTTGCCTAGCACAGATATTACATGTAATAGCACACATCAGTGTTACAAATAATGACTTTATTTATAACCTTGACTACTGATAACAGATCTAGCATGGTTGGTATTTTGTTACATAGACAACTTTCAAAATGTTGGCAACAGAAAACAATATTGCTAAGAAAATCATACAAAAAAAAACAATAAGATTTCCTATTTGCTGGAATAAAGAAAGGTAATCCAAAATTTAAAAAAAAAAAGATAGAGCACAACTTCTCTTTTTATAGAACCATATGCACAAATTTGGTTGGTTTTATCATGAAATCTCTGAGAGTAGCTGGATGATTTATCTTAGAGGTGATAAAGATTTAAGAAGTTTTTTTTTTTTTTTTACCACCTTAATAAACCACGATTTTGGCAATTAAAAACTCCACATATTAATGATTAATGTGATCAAAATTAAAATGTGCAGCCTTTCATTTTCTGTACAACTTCATTTTTTTCTATAAAGCAGTGTCGATGAAGATGTGACGATGAACACCACAGAAAACAAAGATAAAACAACAGTGGTTAGTGAACCCAAAAAGTCAACTGCTATGCACAAAACACATACATATGTTTCTAGCTAATAGCTAGTTAATCTGAATATACCAAAGCTGTAACTGTTAACTATGTATATGCTGAGAACAGATTATCAATACCCTGAATATTGCAGAAGTATGAGCAAAGGCCTAAAATTAAATTATTTTTAATACCAACCACTGTGCGGAGTTAACTTCTTAAACCATGGATCCCTAAATATTGAACTGGTTTGTGTTTGTTGTTTGTTTGTGTTTTAACAATACTTTCAACTACCTTGGCTATTAAGTATTTGGTGGGGTTCAAACTTTTAACCATCCTTTCTCAAGTCATGATATCTGTCAGTGTTGTCTTATGATGGGTAGCTCTCTCATTGGCAATCATACCACATATCCCTATTTTCATACTAGTGTCAAGTCCAGGTCTTACCTCATGTTAATTCCTTCACCAGAAAATATTAACTTATGAAAGCTGTTACAATGTCAGAATCCAGTTAGATTAGGGCTATTCCAGGGGAAAATGCATGGTAGAGTTGGACTCCACAGGATATTTTTCTGTGGGTAATAGGGGTGAAAGCAAATACAATTCTGTTACAAATGAAAATAAAAATTATGGTAGTAAAATATGTTATTATACTTCACGTTAAAATGCCATATTTTGATTGGCTTCTACGAGGGTGTTAATTTACTCTATCACATGGCTGAGCGGGTGACAATTTTTTTGAATGTCACCCTCTTGTCCAGACCAATCAAAAATCGATAATTTAAAGGACAATGAATTGAATTTACATCAAGTGATTAAATACAATGCTTAAGTTCTATGTTTTGGCTCAGATTTTATTATTTGACTGTCAAAATAAAAAAATAAAACATCTTGCCTCACTTTTGTTGTTTTTTTCTAATACCCGTAACGTTGTTATGTACTTGACGTCATAGAAAATACTTTTAAAATAAAATTAATCTGTAAAAGACAATAATGATAGGACATTCAGTATAATATATTAAATAACACATAGCTGAGAGGGTGATAGAGCAGATTGGTACCCCTCAACAAAGCATTGTCAACCTTGGCTTGACAATGTTTTCTCGGGGTAACAATCTGCTCTATCACCCTCTCAGCTATGTGTTATTTATATATTGTCCAACCCCCAAACCACCTACATTTTTTCATGGAAAAGCATTCAGCTAGAAAGTGAGTCCTAATTATGGAAGGTCAGTGAGATATTTCTATGAAAGTATCAGAACAATATTAACAGCATGAATAACAAATTTGCAATAGATTTTCTTGTTGCTGTAAAATGAAAGGACTTATTGCACATTATTTTCTATTGGACATTTTCAAATTATTTTTTGAAAATGTACTGTTTTGCCAAAAGTATTCAGGAAAAGCATGGAACTCCCAACTTTAAAAGATATGAACCTTATTAATCTTTTTTGAGAGAGAAGCAAAATTTAAAATCAGATATTCTATTGACTAGAAGAACTTACAAACTCCCCCCACTATATACAAACAAAGATGATTCAAAAATAATCATTTACTGCCAATTTAATTAATTGAAAAAAGGAGATCTATGGCTTAGCCTGCTTATAACAACCATCAAAAAATTATAAAAAAACCCAACTATATACTAACTGTTTCTACACTATCTATCTCAAATACAGAATAACCAAATAAGAAAGACTCCTTTCCTGTAATTAGTTCTGAATATAGGCAACAGTGATGAAAAAAGTTTTATTAACTAAAGCCTTCCAGTGTAACTAGCCATTGACAGTATTCAGACCAATTCACAATGTGATTAGAATGCAAATCCTGTGTACAAGCTTTCCTTAAAAGGATCTGAAAACACTCGGATCTATGTCTGTTTGAAAGACTTTTCTGGATTCTCTGGTTTTGTTAGATTGATACACACCTTCAAAAACTTGAAGGCTGAAATTTCATTGGCTGATGTAATAATTACCAGAACAGAAAGTAAAACAGAGTGTTGTCAGATACTTGTAAGCAAAGCTTGGACAGAGGATCTTTATGTTAATCAGATTGACCAATTCACCAATCTCAAATGTATATATATTATCATGCAAAAATTAATTTAATATCCTACATTAATGTTCCAAACCACACATGTAATAAAAATAACACATATATACATGTATTATCTTATCATTTTATTCAAATAAATCTTTAAATCTATTGCATGGATACTAGTATATGTAAACATCTCTATTTTGAACCTAATTGAAGATAGTGCTTTGGTATGCTACTGTATGTATTAATACAAGTTTTTATTTATTGTTTAACAGATCATATTTTCTACATAAAAATAATTAATAAAGTAATTTAAAATTAGGAGAAATAAATGGGGAATGTGTCCATGAGACACAGATGATGCCCCCACTTGCATATAATGTTATAAAGGGACATAACTCAAGAATGGTAAAAGTGACGCTACCCAAATTTGTATTTGATCTGAGTTTTGTGGTAATAAGCATTGTGTATAAGTTTCATAACATTTGGTTGAGGCAAACTTAAGTTAGAGAACAGAAACGAAAAATTCAGCATTTTTTCCATTTGTAAAGGGGCATAACTCTAGAACGGTAAAAGTGACGCCACCAAAATTGTAAACTGATCTGTGTTTTGTGGTAATTAGCATTGTGTATAAGTGTCATAACATTTGGTTGAGGCAAACTAAAGTTAGAGAACAGAAACGAAAAATTCAGCAATTTTTCCATTTGTAAAGGGGCATAACTCTAGGACGGTAAAAGTGACGCCACCAAAATTCAAACTTGATCTGTGTTTTGTGGTAATTAGCATTGTGTATAAGTTTCATAACATTTGGTTGAAGCAAACTAAAGTTAGAGAACGGAAACCAATTTTGGGACATACGGACAGAAGTACAGACGGACATGGTTAAAACTCAATGCCCCCTCCGCTACGACGGGGGCATAAAAATTCACAGCAATTAAACAATAACTATCCTTCAGTTTTTATTTAAAAACATTACCGATACTTGTCTCTTAAATCAGGCTGATACTGATCTATCTAACAATATATATATATTGTGCATTTCTACATCCATGTCAAATGAACGACATACATAATTTAAATGCATGAATATATATGGTTTGGAACATAAATATTTTCAGCTACCATAAATCATGCTAAAATATGCCCAAAAAATTGCATGCATGAAAATAAGATAAAAATTATAAATTTTGGTATGGATCATAATACATTTTTGGCAATAAACTTGGACTTTATTAAAAAAAATCACATAAAATGGTCTAACTTGGCAATGGAGTGGTTCTGGAAGAGATTGTTTGGTGCAGATGACATGAGACTATTTATTACTATGAGAAATTTAGTTAGATTTGCATATATCTAGGCATGAAATTTTACCCAATACACGGGCCAGCTCTAGGACCCCTGGTACAGTAGCAACACAGCAGGCCTCTAAAAATCATATAAATTACCTATTGAACGAACATAGTAATTTCAAATAATATTTTTATAACATCCGTTTTCATTTTCTTAAAGAAGATAATTTTACATTTACAATTTTTTTCAATGGAAACAATACTTGAGCAAACCAGTTTTCAGTTAAACTCTAGCTAGAGATACTTAAACAATTGTTAAATTTGACATTGCTCATGTGAAAAAGCTAAATCCAGATGACTATACCTTGGAACTATCTGATAAATACTGGTACCTACGCATTTACAAAAAAAAATCAGCTTTAGATGAAATTAAAATAGAATTGACAACCTGCTAGAAAAAACTGGTTGTCTTGTGTATGGTTGTTGTTGTAAATACATTTTTTTGTACATGTACTTAAAACATTTGTCTACTACCAAAACAGCTTTCAAGCATATGTTTCGATAGGCAAAGCAACTAATTAATTTTGTATCAAAATTTAGCGTTATAAATCTAAACAAAAAAGCAGCAAAATATCAATATTATTCAGGCAAAGGGCAGTAGCTATCTATATCAATATTATTCAGACAAAGGGCAACACAGTACTATATTAAGAAATAAAACTTAACGCCCCCTCCGCTACAACGAGGGCATAAAAGTAATCAATTCTTACATTTATTTTTATGCAAATACAAGTCAGTTGTTATCAATTTTAATGCATGCTTTGAGATATAAGCTTATTGTGGTAGGCACTAATTTAGATCTATGACATGTGCCACAATCCTTCTAGCTACACAATTGTTAAGTCTTTTTCATATCCTTAAATCTTATACATGTACCTATTTTTACAAGTGACACATAGGTTAAAGAAAGCATTCATATATCATCCGTATTAGTGTTATAGATCATCAATAGTAGAGAATTTAACGTATAAAGAGTTGAAGTATAATTAAAAATTTTCCTACCATTTGACTGAACAGCACCTATCATAAATACATGTTCATCATTCATTTACAGTATACCTATCTGTCTGGCATGATATACTTTATCCATCAATAATTATATAATGATTTTTATCTAAACAAAATTTAGAAACTATTGTGAGCTTATCACTGATATAGTTATCCTCTATAAAATATGTTAAATTGATTTCAAATGGAAGGCATCAATTGGGTTATTTCTTAATCTTTAAGGTATTGTATATCGTTAGTGACTACATTTCATTTATCAAGGATTTTTTTAATTGAGGCATCCCTATATAATTCTTAAGTCCAGAAAGTTTCAAACAGAAGTTGTTTTAAAAATTAGTTGATTCATCAGGTACTAATATTTTAAGGATTTCAAAAAATAATTTAAGAATTTGACATATTTCAGTTTTCTGTTGCTTCTCACGGGGCAAATATAACATGAATAGGTTAGGTAAACCTCAAACTTTAAACTTTTCCAAATAATAAAATAACATGAATCACAGAAATTCGCAAAGTATCATAAAAATAAAGAAAATACCAATTATTATACATGTATGTTTATCTATCTACCAACCTGATGCATTCGTTGATTCTGGATTTCCTATCTTCACTTCCTGCAAAAATAGACAACACAATTCAAAAGATCAGACATTAAAAGTACTTAGGACTGTTCCATTAAAACATACATGGTACCCAGGGAAGGCACTATAAAAATGGGGTAACCACCTATAGAGGCAAATTAAAAGTTCACTTACCGGTACATTTCCACTATGCAAAAACATAGATGACACCCACTCATAGTTGAGATTTGGAAGTGCCTTCCTTGGGTCCCATGGAACAGCCCTTAGCAGAGAAAACTGTCTAACATACATGTACTAACTAGTTAGTACATGTACCTAATTAGTTTTAATTACTACCAAGCTCCAGATACTAGTAGACTGCACTTAAACCTATGTTTTAAACATTAAAATTTCTAAAAAACATATCAGTAAAGAACAGTATACCCTGATACATCCTGTTTATCATGGGCATATAAAAATCACAGGCAATAAATTCAAAATACCAACTATTGACGCATTCAGTCTTTGATGGTTTGATACTCAACCCCTAACAGGAGGGATTGTGCTTGATTTTCATATGATGAAGACATAATCTTTCAATCAGTTTAATTGAGGTCTGGAGCTGGCATGTCAGTAACTGCTAGTTGTCCTTTGTTAATTTATGTATCATTGTCATTTTGCTTAGTTTCTTCTGTTACCTATTCTGTTTCCGACTCTGACTTCTTTTAAACTGAGTTTTACTGTGCATATTGCTGTGTGTTTGTTTATTCTACATTGGCTAGAGGTATAGGGGGAGGGTTGAGATCTCAGATAAACATGTTTAACCCCGCCGCATTTTTGTGCCTGTCCCAAGTCAGGAGCATCTGGCCTTTGTTAGTCTTTATGTTTTTTTAATTTTAGTTCATTTATATGTTTTGGAGTTTAGTGTGACGTCCATTTTCACTGAACTAGTACACATTTTTGTTTAGGGGCCAGCTGAAGCCCGCCTCTGGGTGCAGCATTTTCTAACTGTGTTGAAGACCCTTTGGTGGCCTTGGGCTGTTTTCTGCTCTTTGGTCGGGTTGTTGTTTCTTTGACACATTCCCCATTTCCATCTTCAATTTTATTTATTGTTATAAAAGTTGTTAACAGATTCATATAAAATGGTAAAAATATAGCACTGTATCATATGAAATGGCCAAAATAGTTACACCTCACATCATTTCAACAAATGCACTGCTTAATTTTTTTTTACTACATATAAAGGATGAAAAATATGTAAAATACTTACACTGAAGAATGGGATAAAGTTTTGGCAAGATTCATCTTCACCACTGAAAATATAATAAATTCACAAGTTTTTGAGTAGAACAAAAATAATATACATAATACTCTTAAACAAACATAACATTAAAATAAATATAAAAATATAAGGTTCCACCTTTGAAATGTTATAAAGAAGATAAGCAATTTTTACTACTAATATCTCTTAGGGCCTCTTCAATACAAAAGAAAACAAACAAATAATTGGTGCTGCCTAAAAAGAATGGTACGTTTTCATCAATTTTAAACCAAACATTATTTGCAACTGTGTAAGGTGTTCATCCCAAAGAGGTTTTCAAGAGATGTGGTACTGTGCTTTTCTAAAATTAGTAGTAAGTTCAATAGAATGAACTAAACCTACCTTTTACCTTTACACATCACCATAGCCTCTGCTATTGGTATTTGTAATAACGTGCTGGCACTACTCAAATACTTTGACACTCTGTTTATAATTTCTTGTGAATCTAAAAATAAATGAGAAATTATATTACTTATTATTTCTCTACTTGTTTTTCAATTAACTGTTGACACAAGAGATATAATTAGCGTGTATGTTATTCTGATAGTATTATGCAATTGTTGAAAATTAGCAATACTGTAAATATAAATAAGAAGATGTGGTATGAGTGCCAATGAGACAACTCTCCATCCAAGTCACAATGTGTGAAAAAGTAAACAATTATAGGTCAAAGTACGGCCTTCAACACGGAGCCTTAGCTCACACCGAACAGCAAGATATAAAGGGCCCAAAAATGACTAGTGTAAAACAATTCAAACAGGAAAACCAACGGTCTAATCTATATAAAAAACGAGAAACGAGAAGCAATTATGAACCACACCAACAAACAACCACTGAACAACAGGCTCCTGTCTTAGGACAGGTGCATACAAATGCAGCTGGTTTAAACTATTTGTACATTAAGCAAAATGAATTATGGACGTCCCAAGTAGGTGAAACATGTAAAAAATACAAAAGTCAAAGGACCATCAGTGAGTAGGTAGGGGGCAAAAAATCTCCATAGAAAATGAAGTGTGCCAATGCTAATACACCTGCATACCATGTATCATTGACTCACCATTATTCAATCCCCTTAAACTGATCTAATCACAAACTTAACATGCTACAGATAAGCATACACCCATTGAACATTTACACACCATTACGATTATCCATGATGTAAAATTTGCAAAAGATTCAAAGTCAATGGACTATAGCTGTGTAAGTGTTTTTGCCAAATAATCTTCATGGAACCGAGATGTGCCGAGGCAAATACAAATGCATACTAAGTACCATCAACTTACCATCAGTGATTCCATTTAAAGTCACCTAATCATAAACCTTAATGACAACAGCAACAGCAGCATGCTAGGACTTAATTTCGCCACTTTCATTGCAAGCGAGACAAAAACCATATTGATTAATTTTTGACATGTACTTAATAGGAACATGAAGTTTTCACCACTTCTTTACACTAACATGAACAAAATGAATGTAAGATTTACAACTACAGCTAAAATTCAACTTGCTTGTTATAATACTATTGATATCTCCTGCAATGACAGCCCTACCAAGTTATTAATTCAATTTAAAAACTCCTGTATAATTGCATTGACCATTATAAAACTTTTGTAGCAGTTATCAGTGAATACTAAAAATTATGACTCATACAGATGCTACCAGATGGTCCATTTCTACACAGCTTTTTAAACCATGACAAATACGGTCAAAGTGACATATTTATACAAAGAGCAGCTATCGATCAATAAATATCCTTACCTAGTTTTATTGATTCTGTTTTATCGAATGTATCTTTCCATGATTGATCAAGAAATAAAGATGAATAAGTTGCATCCAAAGTTCCCAAGTTTTTACCAATACAACTGTTACCTAAAATAATAATATTGGGTTATTGCAAGAATATTGGTGAATATTTTCTAAAGAAGAAACATCCTGAAATGAAAAACATGCGGTATTTGTCTTTAACATTGAGAATGGAAATGGGGAATGTGTCAAAGAGACAACAACCTGACCAAAGAGCAGCCCAAGGCCACCAGTGGGTCTTCAACACAGCGAGAAAATCCTACACCCGGAGGGGGGCTTTAGCTGGCCCCTAAACAAAAATGTGTACTAGTTTGTCATTGTATGTTAAACCAACAACAATCAATCAATCAATCAATCCCGAGTAGAAAATAAAACTTATTTTTACAGCAATATTGTGGTATTTCTCATGATGGCAGCCATCTTAGTAGGCTATCAAACACCAAAGTAAAATGACACTTGTTGAATATAAGAAATGTTTTATTAGTAAGATCTTATTTGATTTAGGGTTTCCAGAGAAGATCTCTCAGAATTCTCAAACTAGACAACCCTAATAATGGCCATGATGGTTATCTTATCAAGCCCATGCTGTGAACTCTTAGAGCAGCTTTCAAAAACAACAAATACATTTCAAAGCTTTTTTTTATTTCCTTCAGTGTTTCACATTAAGTTCCAAGTCAGGAATATGACAATTGTTTTCCATTCGTTTGATGTCTTTGAGCTTTTAATTTTGCCATTTGATAAGGGACTTTCCATTTTGAATTTTCCTTGGAGTTCAGTATTTTTGTTATTTTACTTTTTTCCATCTATTTTTGACATAGGCCTAGTGATATAGAAAATGAAAGGATAATTTGTTTTCATGAAAATCTAATAAATTTCAGTGACTTCAACTTTAATTTCAATAACTTCTACTAACAAAAGTCCAATCTGGGGTATAAACATATCACATTAACATGACACAACAGTCCACTAGTAAAATTAACCTTCTTCCTTATGACCCATGACAGGCAAACATCTTAATTAAGCCGGTAAAAAAAACTATTGAGCTAGTTTGTCTTCTTGAACTAATTAATTTCATCACCTTAAAATATCTATAGACAAATAAATTTAAGATGAAACTTAGATATCTTTTTCTACCTCTGAAGTCTCAATTATTTTTTTCATTTCTGACGTTTCATACTGAAGTTTTGTGGAAGAAAATCCACATAACTCTAAGACTGTATACTTACCGAACGGTATGACTAGAAATCTAACATATCCTTGCCAGTCTGGAGGTTTAGCTGAGAACTGTTCTACATATGGCCTTAACACAGAGTTAATATAACCATCAGCCCCAGCTATCGCAATCTTCACTGGACTTGGCTTCTTCGGATTTGTATTGCAACTGAGAACGAAAAATTCTCCAATTAAGGTGGTACATAACACTACATGGAGGTAGCTCTTTAAAAATCAGCTGAATGTTTTAATCAAATTCTATTGTTAAGTAAATATTAAGCTTCTCAATGATCAAAATTAGTGATTATCAAACTGCTGTATATCAAGTAAAATATTTCCAATAAAGTGTGTGGTTAAAGTTTTTTGAGTTTTTTATATTTTTTTTCAAAGGGTCAAAGTAAATATTTTGTCAAAATTTTATGAAAATTAAACTAGCCAAATTAATTTTAGTCAAGGTGTTTGGTACCACCTTAATTACAACATTTTAATCCTGCATTTGCAGTAATTCTTCAATTTTATACAGCCTGTTCGTATTACACAAATGTCAAAATCCCAAATTCCAGAATTAGCTATCACAAAATAAGTTACGTACTGCCTCGTAATAAAATAAGAAATTTCTTCATTCTATAAAGTTATTCAACATTCCTGAATTTTCTAAAGGCTTGCATACAGTCTTTAGCAAATCCATGGTATCAAATATCCAAGTTTCCCTCAATCCTAGAAAATTGGTATTCACAAAAATAAATGTATCCACAGTAACCATGTGGCTTAACATAAAGTGTGACGATGACATAAATGATCCCTATATGATCCCATAAGCATCAGATGGATGCTGTCAGACAACACAAGTTTAATGACAGCAGTCCAAATTTTCAAAGAAAGTTAAAATAGCAATTAATACTATTTTTTTTTTTTTTTTGTGTGTTTTCAACACATTTAAGACTAGTTAAGCTTAGCACAATATTTGTATTTAAGAAACCACATTACCTATAATTTCTTATTATTAAAGACCAGAAAAGGTATCAGTACTTTTTCTTATTTCAACAACCATACAACTTACAATTCTTGTAAATATAGACCAGTATACAGATTTATACAGGACAATTTATATTTTTTTTTAACTTTGTCAAATTAAGGTACAATTTCTGTATTTCAGACTAGACCACAAATATTTTAGTATTTTAAAGACCAGACCACTTAGATTTGAATTTTAGAGTCTGGATCATTAACAATTATGTATCTAAGAGACCATATCAGGTCCGAGTACACAGTTATCGTCCTATGATTTTCGTTGTCCACGAATATAGTCCCTAGTGTGGACAGTGTGTTACTTGCTTATTTTTTTTATACCCCTTCCAAATTTATTTCTCCATGTTTTATGACTCAAATAGCAAGTAGGGGGTGAAATGACACTGTAAAAAAATTTGGGTCATGAATTTTAAAGTAAAGTAGTGATTTGGCCCAGCTGAAAAATGTTAAAAATTAGCACTTCGGAAGCTGTCAAAAGATTTGAAGACCCCCTTAACATAAAATTGTCCATATTTTGAGTTAGAGCCGATGAAGTTTTCTATAATTTTGATATAATTTGTCCCAAAAGTAGTACAACACACTGTAAAAATATTATTGAGAAAGCGCAGGTGGGATTTTTTTAATTTTCATTTATTGTCTAAAAGAAATGCACTACGAAATAACTGTGTACTCGGACCATATCACTTACAATTTCTGTATTTTATGCACCAGATTACTAACAGCAGCCTTGACATCAGCATTTCCACAAGTACATATCACTTTAAACTGTTTTTCTTGCAACTTTTGCAGGAAAAACTGGAAAAGAAGAAAAAAACTGATTACATCTTTCTTCACCCTCATGTTCAAACATAGCAATAATTGATGACCAACAAGTCATCACCTTGAACTGTAACTAGCAAAAAAATACAGAACAAAAATGTAATATAAACATATTTCCTTATACAAAATATGCCTTAACAAACCCTTTCAGGTTTCATGTATGCTTTCCGAAATTTACCTGGTTTAAACAGCAATTTCCACATTTAAAGTACCTTCAATCGTAGCTGAGAGGAGATTCAGTAGAAATGTATTGAAACTGAATCCCAGAAATTCAGCAGTGTTTCTTAAAAAAGTGCTGAATACAATTACAAACTTAACCTGTCCCTGCCATTCATCAGTGTTGACTATGATTACAAACTAACCTGTTCCTGCCATTCAGCAGTATTGACTAGAACTACAAACTAACCTTTCCCTGCCATTTAGCAGTATTGACTAGAACCACAAACTAACCTTCCCCTGTCATTTAGCAGTATTAATTAAAATACAAACTAACCTGTTCCTGCCCTTCAGCAGTATTGACTAGAACTACAAACTAACCTTTCCCTGCCATTTAGCAGTATTAATTAGAATTACAAACTAACCTGTTCCTGCCATTCAGCAGTATTGACTAGAACTACAAACTAACCTGTTCCTGCCATTCAGCAGTTTTGACTAGAACTACAAACTAACCTTTCCCTGCCATTTAGCAGTCTTGACTAGAACTACAAACTAACCTGTCCCTACCATTCAGCAGTATTGGCTAGAACTACAAATTGACCTGTTCCTGCCATTTAGCAGTCTTGACTAGAACTACAAACTAACCTGTCCCTGACATTCAGCAGTATTGGCTAGAACTACAAATTGACCTGTTCCTGCCATTTAGCAGTCTTGACTAGAACTACAAACTAACCTGTCCCTGCCATTCAGCAGTATTGGCTAGAATTACAAACTGACCTGTCCCTGCCATTGCGCAGTGTTGACTAGAATTACAAACTAACCTGTCCCTGCCATTCTGCAATGTTGACTAGAATTACAAACTAACTTGTCCCTGCCATTCAGCAGTTTTGACTATAAATTGGTGAATAGAATTACAAACTAACCTGTCCTTGCCATTCAGCAGTATTGACTAGAATTATATTGTCTGGTAGCTGATCATCTGAACCTGCTAACACTGCACTTAATTGTTCCAATAATGCTTTTCTTGGCTACAAAATATAATTATAATAAAAATCAATTAAATCATCATAATGAAAGTTAACTTACACATTTCAGATGCTGTTTTTTTTTCAAGAAAAGATAAACTTTGCTGTTTTAAATGATATAAATCTAATAGTGCCAAAACAAAATGTCACTTCCATTTTCTCAAAAAAAGTTAAATAAACTAAGAAATTATTTCACTTATTAAAATAGATTATACACTTCATTGAAAACCAAATTTTGTGTAAAAGGATGACATATCAGGCACAGAAATATCTTCTATTTTTATCTATTTGTTATAAACAATTCATGACACTTGAAGTAAATCAACAGCTTTTGCCTGAAACCTGAAACAAAAGTTAAAATATATTGTTCAATTACTTCAAGTTTATTTTTTTATTTGCAATGAACTCATTGTTGAAATGTTAACAAAGGTACCAGAAAAGATTGGCATTCAGTATATTGTGTTAGTGCATTTGACTTTATTTAGATAAAATAAAGCTGTTTTTTGCTTATTTTACAAAGGATATTAGGAGAAAACTTGGGTGGTGTTACTCCTAAACAATCTGGGCCAGATGTGCAGAACAATGTCAACATCAAGTCCTTTCTGAACTGATCTTTGATGTCTATGAATATTAGGTATGCAAGGCCTTAATGACTTCAAATTACTACACAGAAACTATTATTTTTTTTGATTTTATCTGCTATCAGCAATAGGACAGGAATGTATAATTTATAATGAATATAAGATACCATATAACATACAGTTTCCCTTGGAATATGGGTAAGAACATGTTAAGTTAATAATACATATTAATACAAGCAAAAGAAAGAAATTACTAATGAAAAAAAATGAATCCCAATATAAAGGATCAAGACATTACATATCATTGGTATATCTCTATTTCAGAAAACTATAAAAAGTTGCTCATATTCCATAATCAAAGTGCTGTCATACTATTTACTTGCAAATCTAGCATGTAGTAAAAATCAAGGTGAAACTTACAATAAAAAAACCTGGCAATTGTTCCAATAATTTAAATTAGGTGAATAAAAGTAAAACGATTAACTTCAACAGGTAACTGACAGAAAAATAAATAATGTTGACTTTACATGTAATTGTTACATCCCTTTTGAGGCATTACTAATGTGGAAAATATTTCAGTTTTTATGATTCAGATTTGGATTTGCAAGTTATGATAATAAAGCCTAATCTGTAAGCGGTGACTGCAAATATAACATATAATTCTATCAAGAACATCTCAAAAGCTACAAAAGCATGTTTAATTCAATACAGATTACTCTGACTAAGTATATAAAGGCATTGTTCTTACAAATTTTTATGATATATAATCAAGATATTTGAAATGATAACTTTATAGAGGAGGCATGTTGTCAGAATAGTATTGTAATAAATATTAATAATTTTATTTTTTTTAAATGCTACATGTTTGTATTGTTTTCTGTCTATCGTTTTGTTATTTATATGTTTGTTTGTTTGTTTTTTTGTTGTTTTTTTTTTTAGTAACAATCCTATTGTTTGGGTTTTAGACTAATAAAATTCTTATTCTTATTCTTACAAATTTTTATTATGAGAATAGTGCAGTTGGGCATTAAGTTTGACTAAAAATGTTATAAAGCTTTTACAAATGTTCACTATTTATAATCTGCTACAGATCAAAAAAAATCTGCTTAACTATGACAGATAGACCTTGTCTTTAATTTGAAGCACGAAAAAACACTCAGTGTGAAAAATTTTGTTTTAAATTGAAGGGCATATAAAACAGTACCAGGGGAAGATAATAACACATTCGAATATGACATGTTGTTTTCGCAACATTGCTAATGATAATAATATAAAATTCCAAGAAAATGAATTTACGTCATCAAATTTATTACATGAATATGAAATCATTTGCAAGGGAAAAGGAATAGGCTGCATATTTAAGCATGTGAGATCTATTCTGTGTCATATTTAAGCCCTTAAAAGTATTTTATCTGAAAAACGATGTACATGATTGTGTGTGAAATCAATTTAGTACTTAATGTTTTGACTGAAAAAAGTTTTTGATTGTTTTCCAGGGCTACAATAGCACATACAATTGACATGGAAATGTTTGTGTCATAAATCTGATATTGAATATGGCAATTGAAAACAGATTTTCACAAAATGGTACAACAAAAGTACTGGTACCTGAATGAAAAGTGAAAGAACCATTTTTTCTACAAAAGATGAGGAGATTCTTCACAGACCATGCTTATCATTATCTTAGCACACATATAACGAACAGCTGAATTTATAAACTTTATGAAAATCTATATTTCTAACAGTGTGGCAGAGCTAGGAACAACTTAGGCTCTAGTTTTGGAGCTAGAGTAAGCCACAAAGCAATTACTTAATTGTTCAATTAAAAGCAAAGCAGTAAAAGGAATTTCTGCAAATCTGACAATCCAAGAAACTTCATATTAATTTTCGATTTTAATTATAACATACATAAGCTTGTTAGTTTAGCATATATATAACAGAGTATTTGTTTTATGAAATTAAAAGCATACAAGAAATATAAACCTACCAATGTTGCAATATACATGTACTATAAAAGGTAATAACAGTCTTATATAAATAAATTTATACGGGAAAAAATTAGCTTCATTTCCAATGGTAAATAACCTTTCATTAATTGTTGGTAAATCTCATAAATAAAAAGAGTCGGATTTCTGCAGCCAGGTGTTCCTATTTCTATAACGAAGCTCTACTGCTATTTGGTAACACAAGATTATGGTTCATACATTATCATCAATAAGTAAAAACAAATATCAAAATTTTCAAATTATCAAACATGATCAACTTTCTATTTGCTTATGGCACATCTTCTCGACACAAAATTGCAATAACTGGTTAAGAGTAGTCGTTTATACATACAAATATATATCATATATCAGCACTCTATACAATTTAGTAAATAGCGTGGACAAAAGTTGGGGCATTCTGTTAATTTGTCACTTTTTCAAGCCAACGACAATAAATTTTATCTTTTTGGTGAAGAGATCTTTTAAGGCAAGGTATACATAAGTGGCAGTATTTTGAATTTCTATGCACTAACCAGGCAACAAGATTAAGAAATGACCAGCTTAATATTTAAATATGATTAAGAAGAAAATGTTCATAGTAATAACATATCACTTTTTTAAAAACAACATTGTGTGGACAGAATTTCTATAAATAGCAATTTAAAATATATTTTTTTCAAGTTTTTTAAGTACATTTTATACATTTTTAGATCTGTTTCACAAATTTTGATTGATTCTACCCACAGAAGTATAAATGCTACAAATACCTTTTTTAATATCAAAATACATTTAAAGAAGTTCAAAAAGAGTAAAATTTCATAAAAATCCAAAATACTGCCCAAAAATGTATTCCTTCATGCAAACAATGCAGAATCATTTAATAAATATTAAGACTTAGTCAGTAACCAGTAAACACATGCTCTTATGTATATATTTTCATTCCAGTCACATTCATAATTATTTAGTTTTTTTAGAATCTGCATTTCATCATGCTGAGGTTATTTAATATTCACACGTCCATGCTTGTTACTATTATTGATGATAATGTAAAAGAGAGAGTATTTATATATATTACAGCACCACACCAAACCATTACACACCACAGTCTGGCTGACTACACCCGTACTATGCCGTCTAGGGAAACTGTCATGATTTATCTTTTTCTCTCTGTATGATCGACTGCGTTTGTGATTAAATGCTTGTTTAGGGAAAAGTCGGTTCCTGTCAGGTGTATTAGGTTCACTTACAGACTGTTCTATATCTTGTTCCTATGTAACCAAATATTAGGTGTAATAAAAATGTTACAAATGTGCAGAAATAAAATACACTAAAACATGCAAATTAGTCTTAGAATTCAAAAGAGGAATAGTTTATATTTTTGCAAGTTGTTTTTTCACATATAATTAAAAAATAATTCTGAAGAAATAATTGTAAAAAGCAAAATATTTTGTCAACAAAAAAAGCATTGTTGACAAATATGTAAATTTACAGAGCACTACAGTTAAAATCTGTAAAAGGATTTTAATTTTATGAATTATCAACCAATTGAATGAGAATTGATTCTTGCTCTGTATTAACTTTGCAAATTAATTAGAAGTAAATGTGATCTTGGATACAATGCAATCAGAAAACAACCCAAAGACACAAAAAACCAAAAGACATCTAAAGGTCATGACTTTAGAACAATCAAGTGCTTGTCAGCATTGAGGGGTGAAAATTGCTTTTATTTTGAATTAACATTGCAGTGTATCATTTAGGAGAATTGGAGTTATCTTTCTTTGTCCATAATTGTAGGTAGACTGGATTAGATTCATAAACTATGCACTACTTTCTGCAACTTGAGTAATTTTCAATAATACACATACACACCACCTTGAAACTTGAATATCTGAAGATATATTAATAATTGTTTCTTAACATGGGCATGATTAGGATCTAAAGAATGTTAATCTCACTCAACTATGTGGTTTATATTCTCCAAGGTAGAAATGAGACACGAAAGCTAGTGACAATAGGGTTTTAATTGCGCAATCTTTACCCCTAAAATCAGCTACTACCTTTACTAATTATCAAGGAAAGACAAGGAAAACTTAATTCTATTTAGCACATATGTCTTAATTTCATTAAAATACTGCAACTGAACTTAAACCAAATCATATGCTATTTACAAATCTGAAACCACAGCAAAAAGGATTTAAAAACCAAATAACTGAAGGACAAATGAACAGATTGATGATAGTAGGGAATCAATATCTTCATTACAGGGGCTAATTCAAAATCCTGCCTCAAGTTAATTCAAGTATTTCTCTACATAATTACTAATTTTTAATTGCAGAGCCTATAAATTAAACATATAACTATAGTTTTAAACTGATATTATTTCATCCTCAGCCAAATAATAAAGCATTGAACAAACTAATACTAGTTGGAATTTCAAATGTTTAACCATCTGGAAAGGACAAATATCAATTCCCACTGCATAAAGCGAGTGAATTTACATATTAATAGCACATTGTTTAAAATTACAACGGTCGACATCACTACATGCATATATACAATATATTAAGGATGATTTTGAAACCAAACAACGGACAGGACACACTGGTAACTGGTATCAAAATGCAACAGATACAACATGCTCAAAACTATATTTAAACTTACATGGCTGTCACAATCATTTTTCTTAGAACCATCATCACTCATTCTACCACTCTCCTGGAAATATACACATTTATAATTCTTTAACCTTGGTAAAATGTCTTTGATTTAAAGACTTTTTAATTTACCAAACACTCAAGATCAGTGTTCTGTAAATAAACCTTATCGCTATTTAATCCAACTCCGGAAAAGTTCTGAAATAACACAAAATTCATACTTCCCAAAACAGTAGTTATCTGCAGCCCGGTTTAAACTATGTCTTGTGCATAGAACTTTTCAAAGAGATCAGTTTAAACCATCGTTAAGACTTCAAACTAAGCCTTTTTACGACTTAATTTCTTTTTTGTTTAACTAAAGGCTCTTTAGAGCCTGTGTCCATCACCTTGGTCTATGTGCATATTCAACAAAGGACACTCTCCAACATTGTAGACAAGAATAGAATTCCTGACAAAAATCTCTGTTTTGTTGATTTGTATTGCTAATCATTTAGTCTGTTTAGTTTATATCTATTTTTTTTTTAGTTTTTGCTCAAAACACAAAAGAGGGTAGAAAAAATCCTCATTTAAGGGCAATCACTCCTATAAAGAGTGACAGTCTATATATATAGCTACTAACTATATCAACAAATTTTGATTTTTTAGTAGATCTTGCCTTGATGATCATCTTTGTGATTTAAAGTGTCTATTTATCTTTTATAATTTTTATCATATAAGGCAAAACGCAAAAAAAATGGCAAAAATCATCATTATAGAGCAATAACTCCAATAATGAGTCATTGGACAATTTCCTCCAATTTGATTTAATTGTAGATCTTATCTTCCTGGTCATTTTTGCTTATTTAAGTTTCTATTTATCTATCATAATTTTTAAGATACAAGGCAAAAATACAAAAAATTAAAAACCTTCATCAAAGGGCAATAAGTCTAATAAGGAGTCGACTGATGATTTCAATTTGGTTAAATTTGGCCAAGTCATTTCAGAGAAGATTTTTGTTAAAGTTAACGATGACGGACGATGATGGACACCAAGTGATGAGAAAAGCTCACTTGGCCCTTCAAGGCCAGGTGAGCTAAAAATGGATAATAAACTACGAAAATATCAAAAAGTCAGCTTTTTAAACTTTTCTCTCCCTCAGCTATTTACTGATGACCTTTGTTTTTGTGACACTTGACCCAAACAGGAAGTTGTCTAAGTGACTAAGTGTCCAATTTTTACCACAATTATTGAACAATGAACACAAATGTGAGATAAATTATTGCAATTTCAGGAAATCCTGCATACAAATATTAATATAAAAATTTTAAATAAGAGTTTATATTTTAGCAAAACATATTCTGTCGCAATTTTTGCAATAATTTCTGAATTTACAGTATTTGTTCAATACATGTAAAATGAAAATTCAATAGTTCGATTTCGATTTTACCTTGTATTTCTCAAATCTCAAAAATAAGTTAAATGTACCCACTAAATTGAATGAATCTGATGTTTATTTGGACACTGGAACAATTTTCATAGATCATTATAGGCTGGTGTATTGGCTTACCCCAGATTTCATAGATTCAGTCACGTCTGCATTCCCTCCTTTGCCAGCAAAAAAAGGTCTGAAATTAAAAAACAGCAATTGATTAGTTAACAGGTATCACACAGGTTATAAGTGAATGTTCTAGAAAACATTAAAAAATTCAGATCTGCATTTTACAAAAACATTAAAAAAATCATGATAATAAAGAGCTGCGCCATGAGCACATGATATGCCCGTCGCTTTTTCAAATAAAGTTCCTAAGCTCCTCAATGTCATATCAGAAATTTATAAAATAAAATGCTTCGCTGAGCGCAGCTGGATACGACCTCAGAGGTCCAACCCTGAACAGTTGGGGGCGAAAATGGACACAATATTCGCGCTTGATACAGGTTTGAATTTGGATTGTAATTAAATATTTGACACATAATAGGTTTCTGACAGCGAATAACTGTAGTCAAAGAACTTAGAATTGGTTATATGATTTGAATTTATATTCAATTTTTTGCTTTTGTGCAATACTCTATGCTGTTGCGAATTGACCCCCACCTCCCCAGCAAAAAAAAAAAAACTTATCCCCCCTTTTACTTTGCTATTGTGAAATACACTATGCTTTTGCGTATTGATCCTACCCCTAAAATAAATTTTTTTTTACCCCCCCTACCCTTTTTTTTTGCAAAAAAAAAAATATTTGAAGAAATTTTCTTTTTCATTTCTGAAATCTGAAATGAAAAAAAAAATTTCCCCCCACAATTTCTTTTTTACCCCCCTCCCCCCTTTTCCCAAAAAAAAAATTCTTTCCCTCAAGATATGGTCATAAACTCAATTCAAATTTCCAATGGAGTTTGCAACCATAATTACCAATTTAAATACATCATAAAAGTCTTAAATAGATAATTTAAAAGCAGTGTAAGGGAGGTAATCCAACATTGTACAATTTTGTTTTTGGATTACCTCCCTTACACTGCTTTAAAATTGTCCATTAACAAGGAAACCCTTGTTTTTCCCCTTTTTGCCCCCTGATTCCTAAACGGTTTGAGCCATAACCCCCCAAAGCAAATCCTCACCATCCCTTTGTGGTATGGAAACTTGTGGTATAATTTCAGAGAGATCCATACACTGAAACACAAGTTATTGTCTGGAAGTTACAAAAATGCTTATTTTTGGCCCCTTTTTCCTTAACTGTTGGTACCATCACCCCCAAAATCAATCCCAACCTTCTTTTGTGGTATTGAACCTTATGGTAAAATTTCATACAGATCCATTCACTTAAACTAAAGTTATTGTGCGAAAACCAATGTGTCTTCGGACGTCGAAGACGACGACGCCAACGTCATACCAATATACAACCGCAAAAAAAAAACTAAAGCCAGTTTATTTTAATAGATATAAACCAGTAACCAAAGTTTCATGAAAATTGGTTAAAGAATTTTTGAGTTATTGTCACACATGTTGATGAGGGACGGACAACAGTATACCATAATACGTCCCATAAACGGGCGTATAAAAAAGTGACTTGTAAATTAAACTGAATTATTCATGACTGACAATGTTACTTTTACTGTAGGATTTTTTATAAAACTCAAGTCTATACTGAGACCAATGATTAAAAAATATTAACTCACCTAATTTGGTGTAAAATGAGTGAAAGGTAGGGTCAATGCAACTGCATGCAAAACATATCAAATTCAGGTTTCTGTCAGACTGACCAAATCATAAACTTTAACAATTTTTGACACCGGTAAAACAACACCTACCCCCTCAAGTTCTGTTACTTTTAAAGCCAATGAAACAAAACCCAACATAAAAGATTCACTATATTCCTGTCTCATTATGGGAGTAAATTACATTTTGGAATGCATTCTACTATTTTTGGTACTGCTAATAGACATATTTTCAATAATAATCTGATTTTCACTCCAACACACGACATATGAATAAACGATAGCAAGTGAGAGGTAAGATTTTAATCAGACTGGATTATTGTAGGAAATATTATACCTGAGACGTGGTTTTGGAGTTGACATAACACTGACTGTGTCTAATTCTGGTCCGCTGTCACTTAGATCTTCTAATTCATCAAATAAATCATCAATATCTACACTAGCATCAGGATTAGCAATTTCCAGACCATGGTCTCCTTCAGATTCTAGACCCTGCAAAAGACCATGCAGAGACAACATAAGCCATTATGTATATGCATGCTCAGAATCACCTATAGATTCTGAGTTCAGTTACAAAGAAGAATGCATATCAATGTTTATTCAAAACTAACAGCAACCATTTCAGCAGGATAATATTTGTGGATTAAAAGACTTATGATCTAATTTTAGCATCAGCTGCCATTCTGAATTGCAAAATGTCATTAAACATAACCTCCAAAGTTAAATTCATGTTAAATTTGCTAAATTGGGTTAGAAGCTTCAAAAGAAAAGACTTCTTTTTTTTATTTTCTCATGAAGTGCCCAGAAAAACTGTGCTCAAAAGAAACATAATAGATTGATTATGCAATATTTGGTACAATCACCATGGAGAATCATTATTATTTTGTTATCCCTATTCATTTTCTGTCATCATGGTCATGATTAACTGTCAGTGTTATTTGATATAACCTTCAAATTACCGGTAGACACTTTTAGCATGACACAGGCAAAGTCTTGATCTAATCAGTGGTTTCAAGACAAAATTTTAGGGCTTGATCAGTAATCAACCATTTGCATATTCACTGACAAGCAGTATCTGAACTAAGTATGACTATATATATTACTAACCTCCTCTGTTATCCTGAATCTCTTCAGTAATGCTATAAATCTTTGTTTTATATTTCTCTGTTGCTAAAATGAAGACAATTTCATATTTTAGGGAATATATTGATAATAAATCTTATAATAGTCAATTTTATGGCTGAGGCAACTATACATCCTTCAAGACAGTAATAATACCCCTCCCACTGTGATTTTATTACATACAACATGCCAGGGCCTTTTATAGCTAATTAAACAGTATGAGTTATGCTCATTGTTGAAGACTGTACACATGACCTAAAATTGTTCACATCCTCGTCCTTTGGTCTGGTGGATAACTGTCTCATTGGTAATCATACCACATTTCTTTCTTTTTAATTCAATGTTTAATGAACTTTAAATCAGTGCTACACTTTTGTCTCTATATTTATTCTGTAACGCCGTTCCTCAATTTATGTAGGTCGTTTGATAATATTCTTAATCTGTTTATGTGTTCCAGTTTAGGAGGATTATTCATCTTTAACCTGATAAGAACATTAAAACATGGTATCATCGCTACCTTTCCCTTTCTCACACGTATCCGTTACAGGAAAACTGCATGGTCATTACGATCACAAGGAATATTTCGTAGAGACGTCATCTTGGACACAATTTGTGGCTAACCACAGAGTGAGTTAATTATATAACATTGTATTTGAAGCCTTCAAATTGCTCTTCGTATATTTGAACCTTTTCTCCGTGAAATACTGGAAATTTAACCGTTCTTGGAAGTACAACATTTTCTCGCATTAAACGGACTGTGCTATCAATTATTTTTGACATTTCGTTATCATAACATTAATTCAACACATTGTAAAATTGTATTTTATTTGTATTTTCAGCTTTTTACCATATGTCAGATTGGTTCATAATTAAAGTATCAGCACCAGATAGTCTTTTCTGCTTGAGCCCAAATCGTCGGTTATACTTAATGGTCAGGCCAATACAATATTGTTTGTAGTTATTTAAAGTGAAGACATACAGATAGTTTACTTCAATTATATCTATATATATGTTGTTCTCATTAAAAATGCATGACATGTCAACATGTTACACATTATCAACCATGTAATACATTTGTAATGTCAGATTATAAATTTAAGTCTATAATTAAATCTTACCGATGAAAAATTAATGATGGCTTCCAAGTACAATTGATCAGGTCAGATAATATGCATTTAATGCATTGTAAAGTGTGAATACATCATTTGTAAACTATGTTGTTATTTTTTTCAGCTGTGTGAAAATTAAACAAGTAAAACTGTGAGCTACTGCTCACTGATGATTACCCCGCCGAAATAATTCGGAAAACAGGAAGTTGTTGAGTGATGAATCTGAAAACGCATCACACGGTATAGCTGACTTATATAAACCCTGAAACCAAATTTCAAAAATCCTTGTCAAGTAGTTCCTGAGAAAAATGTGACGAAAATTTTCAACTTGGCTATCATGTGTAAAATAATACAAGTGTTCGGTAAACAGGAAGTTGTTGAGTGATGAATCTGAAAATGCATCACACGGTGTAACTTACTTATATAAACCCTGAAACCAAATTTCAGAAATCCTTGTCAAGTAGTTCCTGAGAAAAATGTGACGAAAATTTTCAACTTGGCTATCATGTGTAAAATAATACATTTTTTTCGGTAAACAGGAAGTTGTTGAGTGATGAATCTGAAAACACATCACACAGTGTAACTTACTTATATAAACCCTGAAACCAAATTTCAGAAATCCTTGTCAAGTAGTTCCTGAGAAAAATGTGACGAAAATTTTCAACTTGGCTATCATGTGTAAAATAATACAAGTGTTCAGTAAACAGGGATTTGTTGAGTGATGAATCTGAATACGCATCACACGGTGTAACTTACTTATATAAACCCTGAAACCAAATTTAAGAAATCCTTGTAAATTAGTACCTGAAAAAAATGTGACGAAAATTTTCAACTTGGCTATCATGTGTAAAATAATACAAGTGTTCGGTAAACAGGAAGTTGTTGAGTGATGAATCTGAAAACGCATCACACTGTGTAACTTACTTATATAAACCCTGAAACCAAATTCAAGAAATCCTTGTCAAGTAGTTCCTGAGAAAAATGTGACGAAAATTTTCAACTTGGCTATCATGTGTAAAATAATACAAGTGTTCGGTAAACAGGAAGTTGTTGAGTGATGAATCTGAAAACGCATCACACGGTGTAACTTATTTATATAAACCCTGCAACCAAATTCAGAAATCCTTGTCAAGCAGTTCCTGAGAAAAATGCGACGAAAATATTCATGGGACGGACGGATGGACTGACGGAAGGACAGACAAAGGTAAACAGTATATCCCCCCTTTTTTAAAGCGGGGGTTTAATAAGGGCATATCCACTAGTTCCGAAAAAATTATAACTAGCACATTTTTTTTGAGTGTGTTTACCCAAAGTATGACATTGGCAATGCTTTCCCACAATGAATAAAAAGAAATATGCCATTATTAGTAATCACAATTATTTAAACTTAGGAATAATGCTTTCATAAAATGATAATGTAAGCTCAAGCTAAATGACAAATTTTTAATGGGACGTCATAATAAAGATTTGTGATTTTTTTTGCAAGAAAAAAACAATTTCGGGGACATTTTGACATCTAACAGAGAGCACTAGTGTCTCCCACAAATATTTTTTTGGCAGCTAACAGATGAGCACAAAATGTGGATGTGTCCTAATGTTTTGTAATTTTGCTATTTTACCAAATTCACTGTTATTTATTGCTATATATAACCCATGAACAGGATTTTTTTCTAATCCAAATGTAGAGTTTTTTTTAATCAATTACATAGATTCAAGGTTTGATTCTGCAAAAAGTCCTTCTCCTTTATTCATTAACAACTATCATATTAAATTTAATTAAAACATGATTTTCTTTCTCTTTAAAATTATTTATTGTTTAAAAACTCAATTACATTGTAAAAAGAAGACACAGACACATATTTTTTCAGTCTCCATCAGAAAAATATTAGTGACGACACATAAAATAAAGAGCTGCGCCATGAGCGCATGACACACCCGTCGCTTTTTCAAAGAAAAAAGTTCCATTACTACTCAATGTCATATCAGAAATTTATAAAAAAAACTAAAGGGAGGTTATTTTAATAGATATAAAACAGTCACTAAAGTTTCATGAAAACTGCTCAAAGAACTTATAAGTTATTGTCTGAAAACTGGGAAATCCCCCTTTTTCAATGAATAAAACCCCATAACTCGGAAACGTAAAATCTAAAATTTATAAAAATTGAAAGGAAGCTCATATCAATAGATATCAACAATTCAGCAAAGTTTCATGAAAACTGCTCAAAGCATTTTTGAGTTATTGTCTGAAACGTAAAATCCAAAATTTATAAAAATCGAAAGGGAGCTCACATCAATAGATATAAAGAATTCACCAAAGTTTCATGAAAACTGCTCAAACCATTTTTGAGTTATTGTCCGAAAACTGGAAAATCACCCTTTTTTAATGAATAAAACCCCATACCTCAGAAACATAAAATCCAAAATTTATAAAAATCGAAAGGGAGCTCACATCAATAGATATAAACAATTCATTTAAGTTTCATGCAAATTGGTTAAAGCGTTTTTGAGTTATTGTCCGACATGTTGATGACGGAGGGACGGCAGGACGGAAGGATGGACGACGGTATACCATAATACGTCCTGTAAACAGGTGTATAAAAATATGGAATAAAACTAAAAGATATGCCGTAACAGACAGGTAATTTTCTTCATATATGACTAATTACGCAGTGTCTCTCAACTGTTATCAAAATTCATTCTGAGGTTTTGTAATTTCCTTCTGTTTAGTGTTCTGGTCCAAGGACACAGTTATCGTCCTTTGGTTTTCGTTGTCTACGAATATAGTCCCTAGTGTGAACAGTGTATAACATTTTTTTTTGATACACTTTCCCAATTTATTTCTTGATGTTTTATGCATGAAATATTAAGTAAGGGGATGAAATTACATGTTAAAAAAATTTGGATGCTGAATCTTTATGTCAAGTAGTGATTTGGTCCAGTTAAAAAAGGTCAAAAATTAGAATGTCTGAAGCTGTCAAACTGAATTTTAGCCCCCCTTAACACAGAATTGTCAATATTTTGAGTTAGAGCTGGTAGAAGTTTCTATAATTTTGATATTATTTGTATCAATAGTAGTACACTACACTGTAAAAATCTTTTTCAGATAAAGAAGGTGCGATTTTTTTAATTTGAACTTATTGTCTAAAAGAAATGCACTACGAAATAACTGTGTTCTCGGGCCTTCTATCAGATGTGGCCAAATCCTGTATTTAGATGAGTGTTAAACCATATCTCAAGATGAACGAGAAATTTCCACCATCTTACCTGTGCTGCTCCAACCCTGCCTCTCGATGCATGTATTTTCCCTCGACTAGATTTACGAGGCCGTGCCAACATGACTGGTTCACTGTCACTTAGTTCTGCATTAGACCAATATTCAACATCATCCTCAATCTCATCATCATCTGAGTCGTTGTCTACGTCAGGTGATCGATCTGTTAATGATTAAATAGTTATTTATTTAATGTACCCAATGAACATAAAATTGAGAATGGAAATAGGGAATGTGTCAAAGAGACAACAACCCGACTCAAGAGCATAAAACAGCCCAAGGAATGTTTGACATTAAATGCGAGTCCCTGAATCATTATAAGAACAAGTCATACATAGGTAGACGACAGTTATGGACACTAGTCTATCATTAAGACCATAGATTGATGGCAGACATGAATTTTTGTAGACTAACAGCATTTAGGCTAAAAAATACATGTTCAAGGTAATCAAAAATAAAAGTTGGTGTTCTGGTTTAAAATAAATGGGGAATGTGTCCATGGGACACAGACGATGCCCCTGCTAGCATATCATATAAAGTTATAAAGGGACATAACTGAAGAACGGTAGAAGTGACACTTCCCAAATTTGTACTTGATCTGAGTTTTGTGGTAATAAGTATTGTGTATAAGTTTCATCAAATTTGGTTGAGGCAAACTTAAGCTAGAGAAAGGAAACGAAAAATTCAGCAATTTTTCCATTTGTAAAGGGCATAACTCTAGAACGGTATAACTGACACCACCAAAATTCTAACTTGATCTGTGTTTTGTGGTAATAAGCATTGTGTATAAGTTTCTTAGCATTTGGTTAAGGCAAACTAAAGTTAGAGAACGGAAACGAAAAATTCAGCAATTTTTCCATTTGTAAAGGGGCATAACTCTAGAACAGTTAAAGTGACGCCACCAAAATTCAAACTTGATCTGTATTTTGTGGTAATAAGCATTGTGTATAAGTTTCATAACATTTGGTTGAGGCTAACTTAAGTTAGAGACTGGAAACGAAAAATTCAGCAATTTTTCCATTTGTAAAGGGCATAACTCTAGAACGGTTAAAGTGATGCCACCAAAATTCAAACTTGATCTGTGTTTTGTGGTAATAAGCATTGTGTATAAGTTTCGTAGCATTTGGTTGAGGCAAACTAAAGTTAAAGAACGGAAACCAACTTTGGGACGTACGTACGGAGGTACAGACGGACAAGGGTAAAACTTAATGCCCCCTCTGCTACGGCAGGGGCATAAAAAAAGAATACTTCATATTGGGTGCTTAAATATAAAGAAAAGGAAATAATGGAAAACAAAACAAAAAAAAAGGAAAATGCTCTAAAATATATTAAAGAATACAGGAAAGAAAACTCCTTTTCCAGACCCTCAAGCTGATCTGTAAGCAAATAATAAACTTTTATGCCATGTGACTACATTCCTGTCAATCTCTTTACCAAATAATATCTTACCAACTTCCACATAAGATGATAATGTTTTCCCCTGTCCATTTTCCACATGGTCAACAGGTTGACTAGACAATGACACCATTCTCACTTGTGCAACATGTTTGGTGTGTTCTTTGGCTTCACTAAATAAATGTAATTCTTTGTCAACATTTTTCTGTAGAACCTGAAACGATTTACAAAAAAAGTTTTAAAAAACTTAATTCCCACAGCTGAAAATACTTCATATAAAAACAAGCATTCTGAGAGTATTGCATAGCAATACATAGTCCCCTACCGGTTAAGAATTCTTTGTACTGGAACAAAATGCTAACTTGATTTATAACTTGTCATGGTGTAAAATATATAACAAATATAAAGTCAATATCTTCAAGCATGACAAAAAAAGTGTGGAAAACAGATTATTTGAGTTAATTTTCTAAGTCCAAGGACAATAACTCTGCACAAAATCATCAGACTGGAACAAAATTTGAACTTGATCTGTAACTTGTCATAATAAAACTATATACAAATTATTAAATCAAAACCTTCAAGCATGACAAAAAAAGTGTGGAAAACTGATTATTTGAGTGAATTTTCTAAGTCCCAGGACCATAACTGCACAAAATCATCCGACCGGAACAAAATTCGAACTTGATCTGTAACTTGTCATGATAAAACTATATACCAAATATTAAATAATATCTTCCAGCCCGAAGAAAAAAAGTGTGGAAAACTGATTTGCCGGACTGACGGACAGACAGACAGACAGACAGACAGACAGACAGACGGAGTGCAAACCTAAAGTCTCCTTCGACTTCGTCAGTAAGGGACTAATAAGGAGATGTGCTATGATTGCCAATGAGACAACTATCCACCACAGTGCAAATGTTAAGCAACCGTACAGCCTTCAACAATGAAAAAAAAATAAAAAATCTGAATGCACAGTTAGATTCAGCATATCATAGAACCACCAGAATTCAGTCTTTGATAAAATCAAACAAAGTCTAATTATGGACCCTTTGGACCTCAATGTAGACAGACCTATTTAAAAATGTCCAAATATCCAATATAGTAATACATGGTAAAAACCTCAAACAATTCAAGACTTTAAATTAATCCTCATTGAAATTGGTTAAAAGATTTGTATTTATTTTCAATTGAAGATTTCTTGCTGTTTTGCAATACTTTGCTGTTGCACAATACTTAGTAAATCTGTTTCCAAATTAAATATAATAATTTACACACCCTGTTTGGTGTGTATTTTCTGCCATATCAGTATTTGTTTTTTCTTTATATAGATCAGAAATAATTTATGTTAGAACCAGCTTAGCCAGTATTAGAAAAGCCACAACCCAAAAAATCAACCCCAACCTACTGTGTGTGGTATGGAACCTTGTGGTACAATTTCATAGAGATCCATTGACTAATACTTTAAGTATTTGTCCGGAAACCAGAAAAACCTTCTAATCAACTTTTTGTCCAATTAATTTTCAAATTTTTATTAAGTAGACACACATTAGATGATGGTTATGGACATCAATTACAATTGATGGCAGTGGCAGGTGGGGGACAGGGTAGTGGACAAATATCATATAACAAAAGATATTATAAGAGTCAAATTTATCCAAAGTTTAATAGCAACTGGCTCAAAGAAAGATTTTTCAAAATTGTTTGTCCAATTTTCCATTGAGTCACCAACCGCTTTTCTAAAAGAAGACCATGCAGGTATCAATTACCCTAAAGTGACAAATTTATATATGAAGTTGGGCAATGGTGACAAAGTAATCTAAGTAGTTCATTAACATTGATCATTAGGCTGTCAACTCTTGAGGTTGTGACTTTAAATCCTGTTTGTGGTCAGGTCTGTTTGTCTCCAATCTTATGGCTTTCTCCACCAATAAAAACTGGCTGCCAAAAACTATTCAACATAAGGAAATTTAATCTGAATTATTAATATTCCTGTCATGTTATAGTGCATGATAAAAACTCATTATCGATATCCATTTCATTTAACAGCTTGTTTAAATCCTTACTACAATAGTATAAAAGTGTTACAGCACAGAATTTTTTAGTTTGTCCTAAGTCACTAAGATGAAGCTGACCCACTACATCTTTGTATTGACACTATCATTATTTGCAGGAATGGTAATGGGATCATGTGACACAAAATTAGGTAAATAAAATTATACTATTTTTAAGCTTATAAATGAGATAACAAAAAATAGAATTATTATAAGGAACTAATACATATTAAGTGGATAAATATTATTGCTTCAAATTTACTATTTTTTGGCTTTTTCAACTTGTAAGATAAAAATAATATGTTTTCCAATTTAAGCATAAGGAACTCATCCTTTCAGTGATTTCACTATCACAGGAAACACCAGAAAACATTTAGCATATATTGTGCAAGCAGTTACAACAACAACACTTTAGGGATTTTTTTGATAGATTACTTAGTTAAGTACAAAAATGTATATACTTTACATTTAATATTATACATGTTATAAATGAAAATGCTGTATTTACTATACTAAAATAGAATTCAATGTCTAGATGAATTGTATTGAAAACTCACCACACTATTCTCTCTCACTCTCTTTCTCTCTCTATTTTTCTCTCTCTCTCTCCGGTGTTCAGACTGCTTTACTCTTTATCTTATATTTGTATATTTGAAAAAAAAATTGCTTCCTAATAAAAAGATGTATTGATTAGATAATATCAATACATTTATATATTATATATTGTTATTATTTGTGTATATTATATTGTAAATTGGAAGTAATAAATAATAAAATGCTCCGCAGGGCGCAGCTTGATACGACCGCAGAGGTCGAACCCTGAACAGTTGGGGTAAGTATGGACACAACATTCAAGCTTGATACAGCTCTGAATTTGGATTGTGATTAAATATTTGACACAGCATAGGTTTCTGACACAGAATGAATGTGGTCTAAGACCTTAAAAATTTTAAATTGGACATTCACCTATCATGCCTATTATGGTCCAATATCCAAAATCTAAATACATGGTTAGATTCAGCATATCAAAGAACCCCAAGAATTCAATTTTTGATGAAATCAAACAAAGTTTAATTTTGGACCCTTTTGACCTCAATGTGGACAAAGTTGATAACGGGGCCCAAAAATCAAAAATCTAAATACATGGTTAGATTCAGCATATCAAAGAACCCCATATATTCAATTTTTTTTTTAAATCAAACAAAGTTTAATTTTGGACCCCGATTTGGACCAACTTGAAAACTGGGCCCATAATCAAAAATCTAAATACATGTTTAGATTCAGCATATCAAAGAACCCTAAGAATTCCATTTTAGTTAAAATCAAACTTAGTTTAATTTTGGACCCTTTGGACCTTAATGTAGACCAATTTGAAAACGGAACCAAAAATAAAGAATCTAAATACACGGTTAGATTCGGCATATCAAAGAACCCCAATTATTCAATTTTTGATGAAATCAAACAAAGTTTAATTTTGGACCCTTTGGACCTCAATTTTGACCAATTTAAAAACAGGGCCCAAAATCCAAAAACTTAATACACGGTTAGATTCAGCATATTAAAGAACCCCAAGAATTCAAGAATAAAACCCCATTGAAATTGGTCAAGAAATAAGCAATTTATACGAAGTATCTTCTTTTGCACAATACTGTGCAATTGAATATTTCTTGCTATTGCGCAATACTGCACAATTGACAATTTCTTGCTATTGCGCAATATTGTGCTATTGGATATTTCTTGCTATTGCGCAATACTGTGCAATTGAAGATTTCTTGCTATTGCGCAATACTGTGCAATTGAAGATTTCTTGCTATTGTGCAATACTGTGCAATTGAAAATTTCTTGCTATTGCACAATACTTATTATATAATAATTTACACATCCTGTTTGATGTGTATCTCCTACCATATCATTATTATTTGCTTTTAAATATTAATCAGAAATAACCAACTTAAAATGGAAAATTTTAAAAGAAAATAACTAGAGGCTCTCAAGAGCCTGTGTCGCTCACCTGACTCTACTTTGGTTTTAGAAATCATGTAAAGATAGATAACTAGAGGCTCTCAAGAGCCTGTGTCGCTCACCTGATTCTACTTTGGTTTTGGAAATCATGTAAAAATAGATTAAAATCATAACAGATACCCTAATAATGAGTGAGGCCAAATTTGGTTTAATATTGGTCCTGTAATTTAATAAAAAATCCTGGTGGCCATCTTGAACAGTAAATCGGCAACAAAGTAGCAACACTTAATCAGCACCTCATAAGAAACATTTATGCCATGTTTTGGTTTCATTCCATTCAGTGCACCTCTAGAAGAAGCATTTGTATGTATTTCCCATAGGGTCTTATGTTAAAGGAAGTCCCCCTATTGGCGGCCATCATGGATGAAGGATCAGCTTCAAAGTAACAAAACTTAGTCAGCACCTCATAAGGAACATTCATGCCATGTTTGGTTTCAATCCATTCAGTATGTGGTTCTCTAAAAGAAGACATTTGTATGTATCATCCATAGGGTCCTTTGTTAAACATTGTCCCCATCTGGCAGCCATCATGGATGAAGGATCAGCTTCAAAGTAACAACACTTGGTCAGCACCTCAAAAGGAACATGCATGCCATGTTTGGTTTCATTCCATTCAATGGTTCTCTAAAAGAAAACATTTGTACGTATTTCTCATAGGGTCCTATGTTAAACTAAGTCCCCCGCTGGCTGCCATCTTGGATGATGGATCAGCTTCAAAGTAACAACATTTGGTCAGCACCTCATAAGGAACATTCATGCCATGTTTGGTTTCATTGCATTCAGTGGTTCTCTAAAAGAAGACATTTGTATGTATTTCCTATAGGGTCCTATGTTAAACTAAGTCCCCCGCTGGCTGCCATCTTGGATGATGGATCAGCTTCAAAGTAACAACACTTGGTCAGCACCTCATAAGGAACATTCATGCCATGTTTGGTTTCATTGCATTCAGTGGTTCTCTAAAAGAAGACATTTGTATGTATTTCCCATAGGGTCCTATGTTAAACTAAGTCCCTCTCTGGCGGCCATCTTGGATGATGGATCGGCTTCAAAGTAACAACACTTAGTCAAGACCTCATAAGGAACATTCATGCCATGTTTGGTTTCATTGCATTCAGTGGTTCTCTAAAAGAAGACATTTGTATGTATTTCCCATAGGGTCCCATGTTAAACTAAGTCCCCCGCTGGCATCCATCTTGGATTATGGATCGGCTTCAAAGTAACAACACTCGGTCAGCACCTCATAAAGAACATTCATACCATGTTTGGTTTCATTCCATTCAGTGGTTCTCTAAAAGAAGACATCTGTATGTATTTCCCATAGGGTGGTATGTTAAACTAAGTCCCCCGCTGGCGGCCATCTTGGATTATGGATCGGCTTCAAAGTAAAAACACTCGGTCAGCACCTCATAAGAAACATTCATGCAATGTTTGGTTTCATTCCATTCAGTGGTTCTCTAAAAGAAGACATTTGTATGTATTTCCCATAGGGTCCTATGTTAAACTAAGTCCCCCGCTGGCGGCCATCTTGGATTATGGATCAGCTTCAAAGTAACAACACTCAGTCAGAACCTCATAAGGAACATTCATACCATGTTTGGTTTTATTCCATTCAGTGGTTCTCTAAAAGAAGACATTTGTATGTATTTCCCATAGGGTCCTATGTTAAACTAAGTCCCCCGCTGGCGGCCATCTTGGATTATGGATCAGCTTCAAAGTAACAACACTTGGTCAGCACCTCATAAGGAACATTCATGCCATGTTTGGTTTCATTGCATTCAGTGGTTCTCTAAAAGAAGACATTTGTATGTATTTCCCATAGGGTCCTATGTTAAACTAAGTCCCTCTCTGGCGGCCATCTTGGATGATGGAACAGCTACAAAGTAACAACACTTGGTCAGCACCTTGTAAGGAACATTCATGCTATGTTTTGTTACATTCCATTCAGTGGTTCTCTAAAAGAAGTCATTTGTATGCATTTCCCATAGGGTCCTATGTTAAACTAAGTCCCCTGCTGGCGGCCATCTTGGATGATGGATCGGCTACAAAGTAACAACACTTGGTCAGCACCTCCTAATGAACATTCATGCTATGTTTTGTTTCAATCCATTCAGTGGTTCTCTAAAAGAAGTCATTTGTATGCATTTCCCATAGGGTCCTATGTTAAACTAAGTCCCTCACTGGCGGCCATTTTGGATGATGGAACAGCTACAAAGTAACAACACTTGGTCAGCACCTTGTAAGGAACATTCATGCTATGTTTTGTTTCATTCCATTCAGTGGTTCTCTAAAAGAAGTCATTTGTATGCATTTCCTATAGGGTCCTATGTTAAACTAAGTCCTCCGCTGGCGGCCATCTTGGATGATGGATCAGCTACAAAGTAACAACACTTGGTCAGCACCTCCTAATGAACATTCATGCTATGTTTTGTTTCATTCCATTCAGTGGTTCTCTAAAAGAAGTCATTTGTATGCATTTCCCATAGGGTCCTATGTTAAACTAAGTCCCTCACTGGTAGCCATTTTGGATGATGGAACAGCTACAAAGTAACAACACTTGGTCAGCACCTTGTAAGGAACATTCATGCTATGTTTTGTTACATTCCATTCAGTGGTTCTCTAAAAGAAGTCATTTGTATGCATTTCCCATAGGGTCCTATGTTAAACTAAGTCCCCCGCTGGCGGCCATCTTGGATGATGGATCGGCTACAAAGTAACAACACTTGGTCAGCACCTCATAAGGAACATTCATGCCATGTTTGGTTTCATTCCATTCAGTGGTTCTCTAGAAGAAGTTCAAAATGTAAAAAGTTAACGCCGACGACGGACGACGGACGCCAAGTGATGAGAAAAGCTCACTTGGCCCTTCGGGCCAGGTGAGCTAAAAATCATAACCGATACCCAAATAATGATTGAGGCCAAATTTGGATTAATATTGGTCCCGTTATTTAATAAAATATCCTGGTGGCCATCTTGAACAGTAAATCGGCAACAAAGTAGCAACACTTGGTCAGCACTTCATAAGGAACATTCATGCCATGTTTGGTTTCATTCCATTCAGTGGTACTCTAAAAGAAGACATTTGTATGTATTTCGCCTAGGGTCCTATGTTAAACTAAGCCCCCCCCCCCTAGCGGCCATCTTGGATGATGGATCGACTGCAAAGTAACAACACTTGATCAGCACCTCATAAGGAACATTCATGCCATGTTTGGTTCCATTCCATTCAGTGGTTCTCTAAAAGAAGACAATTGTATGTATTTCCCGTAGTGTCCTATGTTAAACTAAGTCCCCCGCTGTCTGCCATCTTGGATGATGGACCGACTGCAAAGTAACAACACTTGGTCAGCACCTCATTAGGAACATTCATGCCATGTTTGGTTTCATTCCATTCAGTGGTTCTCTAAAAGAAGACATTTGTATGTATTTCCCATAGGGTCCTATATTAAACTAAGTCCCCCTCTGGCGGCCATCTTGGATGATGGACCGACTGCAAAGTTACAACACTTGGTTAGCACCTTGTAAGGAACATTCATGCTATGTTTTGTTTCATTCCATTCAGTGGTTCTCTAAAAGAAGTCATTTGTATGCATTTCCCATAGGGTCCTATGTTAAACTAAGTCCCCCGCTGGCGGCCATCTTGGATTATGGATCAGCTTCAAAGTAACAACACTTGGTCAGCACCTCATAAGGAACATTCATGCCATGTTTGGTTTCATTGCATTCAGTGGTTCTCTAAAAGAAGACATTTGTATGTATTTCCCATAGGGTCCTATGTTAAACTAAGTCCCTCTCTGGCGGCCATCTTGGATGATGGAACAGCTACAAAGTAACAACACTTGGTCAGCACCTTGTAAGGAACATTCATGCTATGTTTTGTTACATTCCATTCAGTGGTTCTCTAAAAGAAGTCATTTGTATGCATTTCCCATAGGGTCCTATGTTAAACTAAGTCCCCTGCTGGCGGCCATCTTGGATGATGGATCGGCTACAAAGTAACAACACTTGGTCAGCACCTCCTAATGAACATTCATGCTATGTTTTGTTTCATTCCATTCAGTGGTTCTCTAAAAGAAGTCATTTGTATGCATTTCCCATAGGGTCCTATGTTAAACTAAGTCCCTCACTGGTGGCCATTTTGGATGATGGAACAGCTACAAAGTAACAACACTTGGTCAGCACCTTGTAAGGAACATTCATGCTATGTTTTGTTTCATTCCATTCAGTGGTTCTCTAAAAGAAGTCATTTGTATGCATTTCCCATAGGGTCCTATGTTAAACTAAGTCCTCCGCTGGCGGCCATCTTGGATGATGGATCAGCTACAAAGTAACAACACTTGGTCAGCACCTCCTAATGAACATTCATGCTATGTTTTGTTTCATTCCATTCAGTGGTTCTCTAAAAGAAGTCATTTGTATGCATTTCCCATAGGGTCCTATGTTAAACTAAGTCCCTCACTGGTGGCCATTTTGGATGATGGAACAGCTACAAAGTAACAACACTTGGTCAGCACCTTGTAAGGAACATTCATGCTATGTTTTGTTACATTCCATTCAGTGGTTCTCTAAAAGAAGTCATTTGTATGCATTTCCCATAGGGTCCTATGTTAAACTAAGTCCCCCGCTGGCGGCCATCTTGGATGATGGATCGGCTACAAAGTAACAACACTTGGTCAGCACCTCATAAGGAACATTCATGCCATGTTTGGTTTCATTCCATTCAGTGGTTCTCTAGAAGAAGTTCAAAATGTAAAAAGTTAACGCCGACGACGGACGACGACGGACGACGGACGACGGACGCCAAGTGATGAGAAAAGCTCACTTGGCCCTTCGGGCCAGGTGAGCTAAAAATCATAACCGATACCCAAATAATGATTGAGGCCAAATTTGGATTAATATTGGTCCCGTTATTTAATAAAATATCCTGGTGGCCATCTTGAACAGTAAATCGGCAACAAAGTAGCAACACTTGGTCAGCACTTCATAAGGAACATTCATGCCATGTTTGGTTTCATTCCATTCAGTGGTACTCTAAAAGAAGACATTTGTATGTATTTCGCCTAGGGTCCTATGTTAAACTAAGCCCCCCCCCCCTAGCGGCCATCTTGGATGATGGATCGACTGCAAAGTAACAACACTTGATCAGCACCTCATAAGGAACATTCATGCCATGTTTGGTTCCATTCCATTCAGTGGTTCTCTAAAAGAAGACAATTGTATGTATTTCCCGTAGTGTCCTATGTTAAACTAAGTCCCCCGCTGTCTGCCATCTTGGATGATGGACCGACTGCAAAGTAACAACACTTGGTCAGCACCTCATTAGGAACATTCATGCCATGTTTGGTTTCATTCCATTCAGTGGTTCTCTAAAAGAAGACATTTGTATGTATTTCCCATAGGGTCCTATATTAAACTAAGTCCCCCTCTGGCGGCCATCTTGGATGATGGACCGACTGCAAAGTTACAACACTTGGTTAGCACCTTGTAAGGAACATTCATGCTATGTTTTGTTTCATTCCATTCAGTGGTTCTCTAAAAGAAGTCATTTGTATGCATTTCCCATAGGGTCCTATGTTAAACTAAGTCCCCCGCTGGCGGCCATCTTGGATGATGGATCGGCTACAAAGTAACAACACTTGGTCAGCACCTCCTAATGAACATTCATGCTATGTTTTGTTTCATTCCATTCAGTGGTTCTCTAAAAGAAGTCATTTGTATGCATTTCCCATAGGGTCCTATGTTCAACTAAGTCCCTCACTGGCGGCCATTTTGGATGATGGAACAGCTACAAAGTAACAACACTTGGTCAGCACCTTGTAAGGAACATTCATGCTATGTTTTGTTACATTCCATTCAGTGGTTCTCTAAAAGAAGTCATTTGTATGCATTTCCCATAGGGTCCTATGTTAAACTAAATCCTTCACTGGCGGCCATTTTGGATGATGGAACAGCTACAAAGTAACAACACTTGGTCAGCACCTCCTAATGAACATTCATGCTATGTTTTGTTTCATTCCATTCAGTGGTTCTCTAAAAGAAGTCATTTGTATGCATTTCCCATAGGGTCCTATGTTAAACTAAGTCCCTCACTGGCGGCCATTTTGGATGATGGAACAGCTACAAAGTAACAACACTTGGTCGGCACCTTGTAAGGAACATTCATGCCATGTTTTGTTACATTCCATTCAGTGGTTCTCTAAAAGAAGTCATTTGTATGCATTTCCCATAGGGTCCTATGTTAAACTAAGTCCCCCCCTGGCGGCCATCTTGGATGATGGATCGGCTACAAAGTAACAACACTTGGTCAGCACTTCATAAGGAACATTCATGCCATGTTTGGTTTCATTCCATTCAGTGGTTCTCTAGAAGAAGTTCAAAATGTAAAAAGTTAACGCCGACGACGGACGAAGCCGGACGACGGACGCCAAGTGATGAGAAAAGCTCACTTTGCCCTTCAGGCCAGGTGAGCTAAAAAGGAAAAAAAGAAAAAAAGGAAAAAAAAAAAAAATCCCCCCCCCCCAAATTTTTTGAACCCCCTTATGATTCATCACCACCAAACTCAATCCCAGCCTTCCCTTTGTGGTATGGTACCTTGCAGTACAATTTCAGAGAGATCCATACACTTGAACACAAGTTATTGTTTGGAAACTAGAAAAATGTGTTTTTTATGCCCCTTTTTGGCCCCCAATTCCTAAACGTTTCGGGCAATTACCCCCAAACTCAATTCCAGCTTTCCCTTTGTGATATGGAACCTTGAAGTACAATTTCAGAAATATCCAAACACTTACACACAAGTTATTGTCATGAAACTAGAAAAATGCTTGTTTTTTGCCCCTTTTTTGGCACCTAATTCCTAAAATTTTGAGGCAATTACCCCCAAAATCAATCCCAGCATTCCCTGTGTGATATGGAACCTTGTGGTACAATTTCAGAGAGATCCATACACTTGAACACAAGTTATTGTCTGGAAACTAGAAAAATGCTTATTTTTGGCCCCTTTTTGGCCCCTTATTCCTAAACGTTTCGGGCAATTACCCCCAAACTCAATTCCAGCTTTCCCTTTGTGATATGGAACCTTGTAGTACAATTTCAGAAAGATCCATACACTTTCACACAAGTTATTGTCATGAAACTAGAAAAATGCTTGTTTTTTGCCCCTTTTTTGGCCCCTAATTCCTAATATTTTGAGGCAATTACCCCCAAAATTAATCCCAGCATTCCCTTTGTGATATGGAACCTTGTGGTACAATGTCAGAGAGATCCATACACTAACACACAAGTTATGTCTGGAAGTTACAAAAATGCTTATTTTTGGCCCCTAATTCCTTAACTGTTGGTACCATAACCCCCAAAATCAATCCCAACCTTTCTTTTGTGGTATTGAACCTTATGGTAAAATTTCATAGAGATCCATTCACTTAAACTAAAGTTAGAGTGCGAAAACCAATGTGTCTTCGGATGCAGGACACCAACGTCATACCAATATACGACCGCAAAAAATTTTTGCGGTCGTATAATAAAAATTAAAATAAAAAACACTTTAGGGATTGCTGCAGTAATTTAATTAGATTGACATGTTTTGGTGACTAGGGCACCATCATCAGGATAAAAACAATACAGAAAATAGAAAGTAAAAGTATACATGTACATTTACTTTCACTTCCTATTTATACTCACCATGGTTACAATTGTGACATAATTTATGCATACCCGATCTTGTACTTCAGGTGCAATTTTCTGTTTTGTTTTTATCCTGATGATGGTGCCCTAGGCACCGAAACATGTCGATCTAATTAAATTACTGCAGCAATCCCTAAAGTGTTGTTGTTATAACCGCTTTCACATTTTGTGTTTTTATCGTAACAACCCTGCATACGAGAGGTATCCACTTTAGGGATTCTATCGTATTGAAGATTTACCAGACGTTGGTTCACTGTCGTTTGTAATTTAGCATATATGTTGAATTATGAACTAAACATTTTTATATTTAAACGTTTTTTGACACATTATTTATTTTCAGAGTGTTCACTTCTTGGTGATCTCCTAGAAATGGCAATCAAACATAAAAGTCCAGGTAAGTTTCAAAACTTATTTCTTGTGTAAATGTATAAAGACTTGTTTGTAACATTGACAATATGCCTCTTTTGAGTTTTATCTTTGATGTCATTAAAGTATACAGGTTCATGAAATTTTAACATTGTCCACCTCAAATTCATAATTGTAAATGTTTACAATAAAACTTTCATTTTTAAGGTATACTCCAATGAGACAACAACCCAATAAGACAATACAACTGTTTAAAAATACCACTGAAAACTAAATGATGAAAGTTTCTGAAATCAATTTTTTTTTTTTAAACTAAGTCTTATACAGTTGACACATAGAAATGGAATGAATAAATTGACAAAAACATTTACTCTATATAAAGGTTTACACTTTAAGCAATTTTAGTAATTTTCAAGATGCCAAAAATAATTGTCATTTTCTTTATTTCTTATATCCATTTTACATTAAATCTGTCAGTGTCAAAGTAGAACCAAAATCCCAGCATTTTCATCAATACTGACTAAACCACAAACCCCTGGAGACAATGGTGTTATCAAGTTTGACAAAACTGTCACCAATATACATAATGGCTACAATCCAACCACTGGTATTTTTACTGCACCTGTTGCTGGAGTTTATCAGTTTTCTTATACAGTCATGACTGTGGCTGGAAAATATCTGCATGTCTACCTTTCTTATAATAATACCAAACAACAAAGTGTTTGGCTGAAAGGTTCTAGTCATGAGACAGGAACAGCCAATATATTAAATCTGAAGAAAGGAGACCACATTGAAGTAAAGTCCCATGGCAGTCATACAATTCACAGTGATAGTAATAACTTGTATAGCTCATTTTCTGGCTATCTCATAGCACAATAAAAGAAATTAAACTATTAGCATGATCAGTTTATTGTTAAATTAAAAATGAAGATTTAATGACTGACAGTTGAAAGTCTGTGCCTTTTAAACTATTAACATCAATTAATGATGCATTTTGTTTACAGCTGTGTCTCATTATTTTAAATAATTTTCAAGATTATTGCAAAAAATGTTTTAAAAAAAGGGCAATACTCCAAAATGAGTCGACCATCAATTCTGTTATGTTGACTTCTTTGCATATCTTGTCTTGCTGAACAATTTGTCTCCATATATTATAGTTTTCAGGATAATAGCAAAAAAATCACAAAAGTAGAGGCTCATGAATGGCTCACATGGATGCATTTGATCAAAATAGTAATAACAGGGTTTTCATCAGAACCAAATTAATGAGTTTTTTTGTTTCAATTGGGTCATTGGTTATAGAGAAGAAGATCTTTGAACATCTGACCTATATGACACCTTTTTGCCCCTTGCACCCATATTGCACTTTTTGTCAGGATCAAATGAACAAAATTAAATGTAAAAGGGGAGGAATAAGAATTTGCAACTTATGTGACCGTCCAATCAAAGATCCTGGTATGCTATGACTTTTTCACTTTGAGAAATATGGTACAAAATGGCATTCATATAAATCTTTCGTGAGGTACGAAATGGCACACGTATAAATCTTCCATGTGGTACAAAATGGTAAACATAGATATAAATATTCCATGAGGCAGTCTGCACCAAAATTTTTTCCAACTACTAGTCCGAAAACCAATATCCCAACGGTTTCCTTATGTGTCTAAACAAAGTTACTTACTAGTCCGAATAAAATTTTACAAGTCTGGGGCACCGGACTAGTGGCTAACGGTGCAGACAGTGAGGTACCAAATGGTATACATATAAATATTCCATGAGGTACGAAATGGTCAAGTTACAAAATGGGGTACGAAATGGGGGGTACGAAATGACTATAATCGTTCCTGCATGTTCATTCGCAGGCGAGACAAAACTATGAAATATTACTGATAGGTCTGTGTAATAGTTTTTGCAATAAAGGAATTTGAAAACCTACAATTTATGGCAAAAAAGTATTTTAACCGATTCTTTTAATGAAATATGTGAGAAGAAATGACTGTAAAACTCAATGAAATAAGTAGAGGAATTTGAAAATACTTTGTAAAAGATATATTTGTGATTTAATATTTCCATAAATATTTACAATGAAGAAGAATGTGTCCATGGGACACAGATGCCCCAACTTGTAAATATATGGCAAATTCAGCAATTTTTCCATTTACAATGGGACATAACTCGAGAAGAGTGAAAGTGATGCCATTCAAATTCAAAATAGATTTGTGTTTGGAAGTAATAAGCATTGTGTATAAGTTTCATAGCATTTGGATGAGGTCAACTAAAGTTAGATAACAGAAATCAATTTTCGGGATGGACAAACAGATGGACAAGGGTAAACTTTAATGCCCCTATTGTCTAGCTGTGGTGGTATAAAAATAGTGGTTACTGGGCATTTTTTTGTTTTATTGCAATACCTAACAGAAAGCCATAGGGGTTACATATATTAATTAAAACTTGAAAAAGTGATTAGAAAATATTCTTACTGAAAAAAGTCTGAACTTTAGCCCTTTACACTCTGAATTCAAACATCAATTGTTGAATTTTGTGGTAACATAAAAAATCTATGAAATAAGTAGCAATATTTGAAAAAACTAGGTCAAAAATGTATTTGTGATGTAGCATTTCCAAAAAATAGGGGTTTTCATGGTATTTCTTTAATGAAATACCTAACAGAGAGCCAGAAGGGCTACTCATATCAATGAAAAGTTGAAAATGTGATTAGCAAACATCCTTAATAAAAAAGAAGTCAACTTTACACGATCGGAATCAAAACATCAATTGTGGAATTTTGTAGTAACAATAAAATCTATGAAAGAAGTAGCAGAATTTAAAAATACTTTGTCAAAAATGTATTTGTGATATAACATTTCTGAAAATAGGGGTTACTGGGCAATTACTTTATTGCAATACATAACAGAAAGCCAGAGGGTTACGCATATTATTGAAAAGTTGAAAATGTGATTAGCAAAATCCTTCATTAATAAAGTCTGAACTTTAAACATTCCAAATCAAAACATCATCTTTAAATTATTTTGTAACATAAAAACATGAAATAAACAACCTGGAATTTTGGAATCAATATAAATAAATGTGGATAGTGTCCACATGTCGACACAGATGATGCCCCCGCTTGCATAGCATATAGTTATAAAGTGACATAACTGAAGAACGGTAAAAGTGACGCTACCCAAATTTGAACTTGATCGGAGTTTTGTGGTAATAAGCATTGTGTGTAAGTCTCATGACATTTGGTTGAGGCTAACATAAGTAGAGAACAGAAACTAAAAATTCAGCAATTTTTCTATTTGTAAACACTCATAACTCTAGAACGGTTGTGTATAAGTTTTATAACATTTGGTTGAGACAAACTAAAGTAAGAGAACGGAAACAAAAAATTCAGCAATTTCTATGTTTATAAAGGGACATAACTCAAGAATGGTACAAGTGTTCTCACCAAATTTCGTACTCAATCTGTATTATGTAGTAATAAGCATTGTGTATAAGTTTCATAACATTTGGTTGAGGCAAACTAAAGTTAGAAAACGGAAACAACAAATTTGTACTTGATCTTAGTTTTGTGGTAATGAATATTGTGTATAGGTTTCATAATGTTTGGTTGGGGCAAACTTAACCCTTTCCCTTTCAGGCATTTTAGACCTTTACTTATCGAAAAGACACTATCAAAGTTCAATTGAATACTGCATTCGCACCAATGGTCATGCACATGCCATGTTGGGCTCATATGAAAGATAATAGATCAAATATTTCAGAAAATTACGTTAAAAGATAATTCGTCCTTTTTTGGTCACGTGGGATGTTTCGAAATGTCACGTGACTTTTGGAGAAAATGTGAAAAAATACGAAATCCTTGGGACAAAAGTCGTGTAGAGACATATTGTTGCGCTAATAGGGTAAGGTTTTGGTGGAAACACAATGCCCCAAGTCTGTTAAAGAAATACAAGTTATCATATTGGTATTAAAAGAGGAAATGCGTGCTATATGCCTTGAAATCTCGATGTCCGTAACATTCAAAATAACTGATTTCAGACGCTCTTTTCGTCCAATTTCAAACTCGGACACTAGTTTTTTGTCTAAATCGATTTCAGTCAAGCAGTAACCTAAATTTTGTTTTTCTAAGGGAAAATTCATTGAATTACTAATGATAACTCGATGTGGCGTACCCTGGACCGAACCCGAGGAAGTAAATGGGGGCAATAGGGGGGGGGGGGGGGCAATTTGGCACACACATTCTTTTAAAAACAAACATAAGTATTTCGTTGGTTTTTCTTTTTGAAATTGAAAGTAAAGTTGAGTTAAGTTACATTTAATATAGGAAATAATTTTTCAACCTCCGGCAGTGAGAATCGAACACGCGATCTTTCCGCCTTGGGTTTGTTCAGCATACCCCTGCACCACCGGCATCGTTAGGAATATATTGAAATTTAAGTACTTAAGTCTACTACTCAAGACGTGAAAAAAAAAAACATATGAAGATCCTCACCCAGCTTGTTTTCTATTAGAAATTATGTGTTCAGATAATATATTTTTGATGCCAAATGGCCAAATGCATGGTTTTTGCGCAAATATAGCAGGAATCCAGTTCTTAATCTGTCTTGTTTCCATTGACATATACATTTTCCTTCATTTAAACAAAAGTGTTTTCAACTTTATCATACCCAAACACTTACGAAACCATGTTTTGTTACATCTATTTCAACTTTGCTAAAAAATTCAGGACATTTCAGTGATTTTTATCTCTTTTACGATAAAATCTTTAAGAAATGACTACGGATTTTTAGCGCATTTCAAGTTTGTGTTTGCGCTGGTACACTAAAAATTACATTTTTAACTAGTGTACAAGTTAGAACTATTATTTTAATACCATTCTTCAAAAACTCACTGCACAGTTATTAAAAAAAGTCATAATTCCCCCAAAAAGGATAGTTTTCTATGTACTTCTTTTTGAAAATATTCTTTAAAAATCGAAGAAAAAAAAAGGTTTTTACAGAATAAATACATGTCATTAAGAGGCGAATTGACTATGAACTGATAATGATAGAAGTTTGATGCACATTCAATCATATTGCTGGTATCCTGAGGATTGATTTGAGCCCTTAACCATATCTGTACGTCAGCAAATGACGATGGAACAAGACTAAATGCCCAAAAAATATCTTAAAATTTGCTTCACCGGTAAGCTGTACCGGTGTGAAAGGGAAAGGGTTAATTGGCTTAATTGGCTTAACCCTTTCCCTTTCAGGCATTTTAGACCTTTACTTATCGAAAAGACACTATCAAAGTTCAATTGAATACTGCATTCGCACCAATGGTCATGCACATGCCATGTTGGGCTCATATGAAAGATAATAGATCAAATATTTCAGAAAATTACGTTAAAAGATAATTCGTCCTTTTTTGGTCACGTGGGATGTTTCGAAATGTCACGTGACTTTTGGAGAAAATGTGAAAAAATACGAAATCCTTGGGACAAAAGTCGTGTAGAGACATATTGTTGCGCTAATAGGGTAAGGTTTTGGTGGAAACACAATGCCCCAAGTCTGTTAAAGAAATACAAGTTATCATATTGGTATTAAAAGAGGAAATGCGTGCTATATGCCTTGAAATCTCGATGTCCGTAACATTCAAAATAACTGATTTCAGACGCTCTTTTCGTCCAATTTCAAACTCGGACACTAGTTTTTTGTCTAAATCGATTTCAGTCAAGCAGTAACCTAAATTTTGTTTTTCTAAGGGAAAATTCATTGAATTACTAATGATAACTCGATGTGGCGTACCCTGGACCGAACCCGAGGAAGTAAATGGGGGCAATAGGGGGGGGGGGGGGGCAATTTGGCACACACATTCTTTTAAAAACAAACATAAGTATTTCGTTGGTTTT